TAAAAGATCAGGAAATTACACTTTGATACAGTTCTGTTATTTCTTCCCCCAATTCTTTTTTTTTATGTTAACGATATATCTTATTTAATTCAACATATCAGAAATATTGTTTTCAACATGTAATCAATATTAAATTATTAGTGAGAAGTTTTACCTTTTTCATACTAAGTCTCCAAAATCCAGTGTGCATTTTACACTTACAGCATGTCTCGATTTAAACTAACTGTATTTAAGGTGCTCAGTAGCCACATGTGGCCATGGGCTACCACACTGGACAGTGCAGATCTCTATCCTTTAGTCATCCCCAATTTTTATTCAAAATTTGCTAATTATTCCAATAACATTCTCTGTTACTCTTTTTTTTCTTGCTTCAAGATCCAAACAAGAACCATGTGTTGCATTTAGTGGTCACTTCTCCTTAGTTTCTCTTATGTGGAACACCTTCCTCAGCCTCTTCCCCCCTTCTTTTATTTTGGCTTTTGCCTCAGGGCATGACAACTCTACAATATGATATACATTCCAGAGCCTCTTACCTCTTCAAGTAAGACCAACAATAGATGTTAGCTGAGATCTTGCTGGGCTCTTTTACCTTTTCTGTTCTGCTTCCCTCATTCCCTTGCAGGTGTCCTCAAACTATGGTTCACGGGCCACATATAGCCTGCTGGGGACATTTATCCATTCTGCCAGGTGTTTTTGCCACTGCTGCCTGTCCTGCTTAGCAGCCGACTCGTCCCGGGCCCACAGTGCGCATGTGTGGAATGTGTGCCGCACTCTCCAACAGTCTGAGGGACAGTGAACTGGCCCCCTGTTTAAAAAGTTTGAGGACCACTGCCTTAGAGGTTCTTTTCTCTGAAGATAACTCCTTCAATAAAACACATTTCCCCAAATCCCTGTCCCAGGGTCTGCTTCCAGGGAATCCAACCTAATAAAATATATATTAGACCAAGCTCATTCACTGCTTTATTTAAATATTCTATATTATACATTATTTTAATAATTTTAACCTACTTACACTTGCCTTTGAGAGATATATGTTAAATATCCTCTTCTGTGATTATAGATTTGTTCATTTCTCCTTGCTGTTCTTTCAGTTTTTGCAAGACATATTCCAACATCATATTACGTGCATGAAAGTTCATGACAGTATTTCTCAGTGACTTGCTCCTTTTATCAATATGAAAAAGTCTTCATTCTTGTTACTGCTTTTTTTCCAGAGTTCTCTTTTGTCTGATGTTAACAGTGTTTGCTTGATCTATCTTTTCCTATCCCTTTGTTTTCAACCTTCCTTTATTATTTTGTTTTATGTATATCTCATATAATTCTAGAAAACATTTAGTCTGAGAGTGTATGTCTTATAATAAGTTTATCTCAGTTATTTTGTTTACTGATAGGTTTGGACTTATTTTTCCCATTTTTGTTTTGGTATTTTCTATTTCTTGTGATTTCTATTTGATTCTAACTTGTGTTTCTTATCCTTTGTTAGTTTACATTTTCATTGCTATTATTATCCTCTAATAATTTAGTTGTTATACATTTTATTCTTCTCATGGTTGCCCAGCTACTACTCAGTATCTACTGATCTTTCTTAGTTTTGGAATCTTGATTTTGTTTCCTTTCATAGATTCTCATAGCTGGGGGAGGCCATGTGACTGAGTTAAGGACAACAAAACCTATGTGGAAATCACCATGTGCCTGCCTAACAGGTGTAGCTGTTCAACTTAACATTGGATAATAATGAATGTCTCTTTCATATCTTTTTCTAAAAACACTTCCCAGAGAAGCCTCTCTGGTTACCCTATTTATTTTGCCAGACAAATTATCCCAAAGGGTCACCCTATTTAAAATTGCCAACCCCTACTACCAACAGCACTCCCCATCCCTCTTTCCCTGCTCTTTAGGTTTTTTTGTAGCCCTAATCACCTTTTTACATGCAATATAAATTACTGATTTATTATATTCATTTTCCTTCGCCCTCTTCCAGAGGGCAGACACTTTTGTTTATTTCATGACTAATATATCTCTAGTGCTTATTATAAGGTATGCCATATATAGTAGGTGCTAAATGAATTTTAGTTGAATGAATGAATGCCACAGGTGAATTTGTATCCGTATCTTTCTCCCAAGCAGAATAAGAACCTTAGCGTTATCGTACTTTCCTTTCTCTTCTTTATTCCTGTATCTATCCTTCCTACTAATATTACTCTTAGATTGATATCTCCTGGAATTTTCTCCTAGATTGTTATAAACATTCTTGTTTTATAACCTACCCATTTGTTTTAATTTTTCCAGTCCACTATAACAAATACCACAATGTGGCTCATAAACAATAAACATTTATTTGTCACATTTCTGGAGGCTAGGAAGTATGAGATCAAGGTGCTCGTAAATCTGGTGTCTGGTAAGGGCCCAGTCCTCATAGACGGGCTACCTTCTTGCTGCAGAAAGAACTAGATAGCTCTCTGAGGCTGTTTTTTAAATTGACAAATAAAGATTGAATATATTCAAGGTGTACAAAGAGATGATTTGATCTAGGTATACACTGTGTAATGATTACTGCAATCAAATTAATTTACACATCCATCACCACCCATGCTGTACATTAGATCCCCAGAATTTATTCATCTAATAACTGAAAGTTTGTGCCCTTTGAATAGAAATACCATATTATCCAGCAATCCCACTTCTGGGTATATATTCAAAGGATGAAATCAGTATCTCAAAGAGATATTTGCACCCCCATGTTCATTGCAGGATTATTTACAATAGCCAATACATGGAAATAACCTAATTGTTCATTGATGGGTGGTTAAAGAAATTGTAATACATATATACATTGGAATATTACTCAGCAATAAAAAGAAGGAAATTCTGCCATTTGCAACAACATGGATGAACTTGGAGGACATTAGTGACATAAGTGAAACAAGCCAAAGAAAAAAAGATAAATACTGTATGATCTGGGACCTTTTTTATAAGGGCACTAATCCCATTCATGGGGGGATAGAATCACCTCCCAAAAGGCTCCACCTCATAATACCATCACATTGGAGGTTAGGATTTTAACAGAATTTCAGAGGGACACAAACATTTAGACCATAGCACCATTCAAAATTAACAATGTGTTCCACAAATATTTTTGCCCATCAAAGCTTCTTGTAGACCACACTTTATTCTCTTGGATTAATTTTCCTCTTTCTGAAATATGCCTTATTTTTTTTTAAGGGAGAATCTGTAGATGATAAATTTTCTGAGTATTTGTATATCTAAAAATGTCTTTTTCCTCAAACTTTACTAATACTGCGGTGAGGTATAGAATTCTGGGTTTAAAACATTTTTTCTCATAACTTAGAAGTTATTGCCCCTAGTATTGATATTTGAAAAATGCATACTGTAAGATGAGAGCATCTAGTGAAAAAAAATTAAAAATTTATAGCAATTAATAAAATGTGGTATATGTATACCATGGAGTACTATTCAGCTCTAAGAAACAATGGTGACATAGCACATCTTATATTTTCCTGGTTAGAGCTGGAACCCATACTATTAAGTGAAGTTTCCCAAGAATGGAAAAACAAGAACCACATATACTCACCAGCAAATTGGTATTAACTGAACAGCACCTAAGTGGTCACATAGGTACTACAGTAATAGGGTATAGGGCAGGTGGGAGGGGGGAGGGGGGCGGGTATATACATAGATAATGAGTGAGATGTGCACCATCTGGGGGATGGTCATGATGGAGACTCAGACTTGTGGGGGGAGGGGGGAAATGGGCATTTATTGAAACCTTAAAATCTGTACCCCCATAATATGCCGAAATAAAAAAAAATTATACCAATTATGTTTTGTTGTAGTAGTAATATTTATTGTTGTTGTTTACATGGTTTTATCCTAATTGGCACTTAGTATGCCCTTTCAATGTGAGACGATATATTCTTTTTACAAGCACTTACCATGGAACTACCCCATGTCAGGCACTGTGTTAAGCAATAGAAAAATGAAATAAGGAATGACAGGGGCCCTCTCCTAAAGGAACTTACAGTGCAGTAGATAAGTCACATAAGTAACTAAAATAATAATGCTCTGGACTAAGAGCTGTGAAGTGGGAAGCACTAAGTATTAAGGGTATTGTTAGAATGTGGAGGAGGACACCTCGCCAAGCTTGAGGGCATGTTGGTATATGATGTGCCTTGTTTGGGGCTCTACTGTCTTGTGCCTGACTCTCAGGAGACAGGGGCTGGAGCTCATGGAGAGCAGAGATATTAGTACAAATCTCAGACACCAGTCAGTTCTAATCACCAGCTCTATGGAGCATCAAAAAAAAAAAAAAAAAAAAAAAACAGGAGAGCAGCGAGGACAAAGGGTCCATCTGGCCAAACAGCTTTCTGGTGTCTCCCCTCTGTTCCTCAATAGGACAATCCCAAAGGGTTGGCAACTGTAAGTGGCTTTGTAGGCTGAGGAACCTCCCAGATCTGAAAAGAACCCACAAAGAGGCTCCCAGGCTTTTATCCCACATCCCCTTCCCCCAGTGGAAAGTCTATGTCGGGGCCCAGAAACAGCTGCTACTATAACTGAAAGCAGGATTATGCTACTCAGCAGGTCACATCAGCTCAGACTAGTGGTTGAAGTCCATACGCTGGAATTACTGCTTAGCCTTACGAATCTGATCTTTTTCTTTGTTTCTTCTATGCATTGTGAACCTCTCTATTTACATATGCACAAATTTTGTATTTGAGTTCCACCCTGGGGGCTGTCAGTAGATAGGCCCGGCCTATCACCTTAGCACATTGTAGACTCTGAATATATGTTCTCCATTTCATATCTTCTCTGGGCACTTGAAAAATTGGGAGGTAATCTCTACTAAGAAGGAGCCCTCTGTGTGCATATCTAGGCTCTAAGTTCTAGGCTGCAAGACCTGAGAGTTTGCACACACCAGTGGCTGACCAGTTTGCTCTCCATCCCCCTTATTGATGATGAATTTCCACTCTCTGTGCTGACAGATTCACGAGGACACGTACCACATGCAACAAGGCTTGCAGGAGCGAGTGCAAAACTGCAACAGGATCAGGACAGGCCACGGCTCCATATACCTTCAGAGGGTACAGCGCCAGCAGCTAGAGCAGAAGCTGAAGCAAGCAGAGGCCTGGTTGCTGCAACTGGGAAAGCTTGCCCACCTAGTTGACTACATGATTTGTCAGAGCCTTGTTTCTATCTTGGAAAAGGAGATAACCTCTTTTGTGGCCAACATCCTGCAAGTGAGGTGGTGGGTGGCATGTGTGGAGGTGGGCAGGCAGTCAAGGGGCAGATGGGGAATGTATACTGTCATCTACCCCTTGGCCTCTCTCAACATTTCTTTTATAGGCCCCAAGGCAGAAACCCTTCTTCTCATCACAGCTGAACTTCAATGATTGTGGCCAGCTGTCTCATATGCCCAATGTTGAAAATATGATCCAGATTCTATCAGAAGGCCTACAGTCTATAAAGACCTCTGCCCTACAGGTATTCTGGATTGAGCAGGGGGGGCTATCTGTGTAAGTAGATACTCTCAGCCCTATTTAAATTTCTCATTGTTTTCCTATTTCTGCCCCTTCACCATATCCTGCCATGAAGGTAATACAGTCTGCAGATCAGAAGACCTCCTGGGATTCCCTGTATTCTGAAGGTATTTTAGGAGACCCAGGAAGGGGGTAGGGAGGCTGAAGGAAGAGAAGGGCACGTGTAGAGTGAAAATGGCATGGGAAGTGGGCAGGAGGCTCAGGCTATAGAGTCAGGCTTTAGGTGTGGATGGAGCAGCTATAACCTGAGTATAGCACATGTGTGTTGTGGGGAGGAGGGTCGGGGGTGATTTTCTCACTAAGTCATGTGTTTATGTGTATGTGCATGCACTGAGGGGTGTATGAAAGAGTGTGAGTACATTATCCTTTTCCTGGTTCATCCAGAACTCTGTAAGGTTTTTCTCCAGTTCCAAAATTGCACTTCATTTACTGTTGAATTTGATTGCTAAGTTAATTTGTACTTGTTTCAAGAGCTCTGCTTGTTCAATATTTGCTTTATTTCATACAGCTCTTTTCTATTTCATGTAGAGTAATTCATTAATATTATTGAAAGATTTTATGGTTACCAATTATCATTGGTTATCAATAAAATCATTAAATGCATTAGTCACATTTGATATATTGATGCTTTTTAATTTTCCCAATGAACTGGTATGTATTCATTAAGATGATTTAAAGATACAAAGATAATTTTAGGAAACAGCGGACCAGGAGAAAAACAGTTTCTAGAAAGGAGCGTGAGTCTTTTTCAAATTATACCAGTTGGGGCACATTTTTTCCTCAAATGCATTTAGATTAACTGAGACTATTGATATTTGTTTTACGTAGTGCAGTGGAAAGAAGAAAGGCTCTGGAGTCAGACACATTAGTTTACTAATCTGCAAAGTGGGAATGACAAAAATACCTAACTTGAATGATTCTTTTGAAGATTAAAAGAGATAATATGTCTAGTATCGTGCTTAAAACATAGTATTAATAATATACGTTACATATAGTACCTTCTTACTATTATTAGTATTAAAGACTTAGATAAATCAGACATTTCACAATATTTTTTCATTACATGCTGTACTAATTCATATTATGAATATACCATAGTATTTTTTGAATGGTTAAAAAAGGAAAAAATAACTTGAATTTTTATTCTAAGTCTTAGTAAAACAAAATGTTCATCTGCACTATCTTAGGATGGATGTCCTTTCCACTTTTAAAAGAGCAACATGGACTGATGTGTTTAGGGGTGAAATGTCATGATGTGCCCATCTTACTTTCAAATGGTTTGGGGGAAAGAAAAAACAGAAAGAAAAATAGATAATGCAATGTGGCAAAATGTTAATAATTATTGACTTTAGGTGAATGGATAAGGACATTTGTAGTACCATTCTTTAAACTTTTCTGCAAAATACAAAGAAAAAAGATCTGCATGGAAAATCAGATTAATATCAGAGAAGAATCAGAACCAAAGTTCTGATTTAAGATTTTCCTTAAGTTCTTTAAGAAAAATGGAGTAAATTTTCAATAAAGGTAAATTTGTAGTAGTTAAAACACTACTAGAAGTCTTTAGGAAACATACATCCAACTGAGAAATCTTTTACTTAAATGAGGCAAAATTTATATGGTATTTTAACTAAATTATAAATTATTTTAATGCCTCTACTTAATATACAAGAATATGAAAAATAAACCCCTTTACAAGGGAAACTTTTACATAGACTAGGTTCTAGTCAATAAAAGAATACTCAATGTATTATTAATAAAATGGTTATAACATATCCTCCAGCCGTAGCTGTGTTCTCCAACATTTTCCAGAGAACATTTTATGGCCAAAAAAGCGAGTATTAATATTACTATTTTATGTCCTTACAATCTTATCAGAAACTTTCTGCAGTTCAAAACTAAGAAAATATAATCTGATAATCATTTTTGTCATCTGTCAGGTGTCAAATTCAAAAACTATTACCCTAAAATTCTTACATTAACTTTAATGTGATAATATCCTACTAAGATCAGAGAATCTTTTTGATATTTGTGGTAAGATAAATCTGTTACACTGAAAAGAGACAAAGGATTGCCTAATTATTATTGTATAATTTTTTGATGTACACTTTGATTGGGATGGTGTTGAAGTTAGCTTAGAGATATAATGAAAAGAATGAAAATTGTGATTACTGTACTTTTTTTACCAGGAGGTTGCACATGTCAGGTAAGGGCTCATTGGACTGTGAGGTATGAGCAGTAGGAAGAGGAAGAGGAAGCATAAAGGGAGGCAGTGTGGCAGTGAATAGATTTATAGATAAGAGGAAAAGAAAGATTTTTTTTTTCTTACTGCTCTGTGAGAAAAAAACCTTAAAGAGATGAAGAGGTGTACAAATATGTTTGACAAGAATATTTGCTCTGTGTGAAATCTCTGAGTCACTCATTTAAGGAAACCTATAGTAAATATCTATATAATTTAGGCCTTTCAGAGTTAGATTGATATTTAAAAATGCAGCTCCATATTGACATGTATGTATTATGCCTATACGTATGTATTTTAAATTGAAGCCCTGAATCCCTCAGAAGTGACAGGTAATTTGTATTTCTTTTACTTAGTTGATATCACATTCCTTTTTTTTTTTTGAGACAAAGTCTCACTCTGTTGCCTGGGCTAGAGTGCTGTGGTGTCAATTTAGCTCACAGCAATCTCAAACTCCTGGTCTCAAGCAATTCTTCTGCCTCAGCCTCCTGAGTAGCTGGGACTACAGACACACACTACAATGCCTATTTTTAGTAGAGACGGGGTCTCGCTCTTGCTCAGGCTGGTCTTGAACTCCTGAGCTCAAACTATCCTTCTTCCCTGGCCTCCCAGAGTGCTAGGATTGTAGGCGTGAGCCACTGCTCCTGGCCCACATTTCTTATTATAAGCAAATTTTACTTCACTCTTACCTTGGCTATGAAGTTATTAGTGATTTCTGTTTTGTTTTGTTTTGGGTTTTTTTTATTTTTTCACCAAATTGTATTAAAATTAGACTAGCTTTTCTTTCCATTGCTTGGAATTACGCTTGAATGGACTTTGTATAGCACTTTATTGCTGGAGCACTCTCAGGGGTCTTGGCACCTTGAATCACTGTTCTTCAACTTGTCTTATATTTTGGAGCTTACAAAACAGACAGTTACTAAATTCAAAGGCAGAAAAGAAAATAATAGCACCAACTCTGACAGGAATTGAAACTAGAAAGTCAGGAGGAGAGCCCCCTCTCAAATTGCTGCTTATCCTTTGGTCTCTTCTCTCTGTGCATCGTCCCAATTTCTCTGAATCTTTTTGTTTGTTTGTTTGTTTGTTTTAAAGTTCAACCTTTTATTCAGAGATATAGCTTTATAGCTCCCTTCCAGGATGTGTGTTGGTGTGTGCAAGAGAGATGGTTGTAATAGAAATAGTATTTGCGTGTGTGTGTACGCGTGCACCTGGGTGGCCCCTTAATTGATGAATGTACTTGGCATGATAAAAAGTAGGTAACCTTGTTCCCCAGAAAGTTTTTCCTGTTCTGTGAAGTCTGAAACCTGGTCTTAACACTGGAGATCCTGGGGCTCTGAAATCTGACCTCCCGCCCACTCCCACTTGCTTGTGGCTGCTAGAGAGATCTGTCCTCACCCTCACCCTGTGGTCCTAGCTGGGCCCACAGGACACAATGTCCACTGCTCTCCTTGCGAGGGAACCGCAGTAGAACAGTAAACAGAGCATCACTGGACATGGCTGCTCTGCAGCTCTCCTTGCTCTTTGCTTGCGGGGCTATAATGATGGACCATTCACGGCTCTGACACTCAGAAGAGCTCAAAGTCTAGCAAAGGAGACCGAGCTCTGCCCCCGTCCTGCACACTCCCTTCTCTCTCATTCTGTTGAACACCCATGATGCGTTGCCAGGGAAACAGGCTCTGTCTCCAGCACTGATGGATTTTTCTCTCCAAAGAGGCAATTCCCTGGAATTCTGATAAAATTCTCCATGTTGTTATACTTAAAATAATATGTAAGGTAAAAAACAAAGATGAAAAATTCAAGCCCCGGTCAGATGATAATTGCATAAGAAAACAAAACTGGAGAATTTCACAAATAGTTGGCACTAAACTCAGCTTCCTGGCGGCCAGAGCAAAGAGAAAAACTTTGTTGGTGACAAGATTCCCTGTATCCTTGTATTAAAACACACTAAAACTTGACAAGAAACTTTGCCTTTCTGTATCTGAGGCATGACATAAGTTCTTCTTCTCAAAAGAGCTCTCATAGACTAGCACAACTGATATGATGGGAGCATCTAAAACAATACCCTGAGATCGAATTTAACAGTGTGTTCCTTAGGGGTGTTTTACTGAACCCCTCCATTCAAGCTCATGTGCCATTCAGTAAAAACAAGGGTCAGAATTGGGTAAAGGTTGGTAACCACTCAAATGTCCTTCGCTGGGTGATTGGATAAACAAACTGCACTACATCTGTACTGTGGAATACTATTCAGCAATGAAAAAGAACTATTGATACCTAAAACAGTGTGGATGGATCTTAAAGGCATTATGCTCAGTGAAGAAAAGCCAGTCTCAAAAAATCACATACTGTGTGATTCCATTTATATAACATTCTAAAATGACAAAACTCCAGAGATAGAGGACAGTAGTTGCCAGGGTCCAGCCAGACTAGAAAGGGATAGCCTGAGAGAGCTCCTTTGAGGTGATGGGAAAGGTCTGTATCTCAATTGTAGTGGTTGTTATACAAATCTAGACGTGGCAGAAATTTGCACAGAACTGTATACACACACACACATATAAAGATAGGCTCTGTAGTTAAATTAACAGTATTGCAATGTGGATTTCCTGGCTTTGACATTGTACTGTAGTTAGCTAGCATGTCACCATTGGGGAAATATGAGTGAAGGGGTCATGGAACTTTATACACTATTTTTTGCCACTTCCTATGAGCCTAGAATTATTTCAAAATAATTGGTCCTACCTGCTCCTGAGTTTTCTAACTCAGAGACTCAGCACAACCCCCACCCTCCCTGCAGACCCCAATTCGCAGGCTTAAGCAGCTACCAGGGCTGCCAAGCTGTGATTCTGAAGTTCACCTTTGATCACTCACTCTAAGTCTCTTATCATGTAAGCTGTCTGTATTTAAACTCTCCCTGAGAGACCAGACCGGAACAGGAAGAGGAGACCAAACCAGATGGGACCGGAAGAGGAGACTGGACCAGATAAGACCAGGCAAGGAAGAGGAGACCAGACTGGAGGAGGAAGAGGAGACCAAATCAGATGGGACCAGACGAGGAAGAGGAGTTCAGACAAGACAAGACCAGGTGAGGAAGAGAAGACCAGACCAGATGAGGAAGAGGAGATGAGACCAGAAGAGGAAGAGATCAGACCAGAGGAGGAACGCAATTTCCCTGACTCTTACGGCTACCTGTCTCTGCTTCCTTTGGATTTTCTGCTCCCTTGTAACTATGGCTTTCAAGTGACTTAAACATTTTATGGCACCAACTTTATCCTTGTGTCTCTATGATCATTCAGTTAAGTTTTCCTGTTGATAAGACTGATTTAGCTCAAATTTTCAAGGCAAGGAATATGGTTGATTCTGCTCTCTAAATTGAATCACATATCCATAAGCCACATCAAGGGGAATGGGTCATGGTGCAAATTAACTGGTTTTAGCTATAGGTAAGGGCAGATCCTCTTAGAAGGGTATGGATGATAGGGGAGGTTGCAATCTTCAGCTTTCCTTGTGTTTAGCTATAAGCACCTATTATATGGGCCTGAATGTGTGAGTTTCTTTTGGATTAAATAATCCTAACTCAAAACTATGTAAGTAAAAAGGAGAATTTTTTTTGTTTTTTTTTAGCTTATATTACTTTAAGAAACAGGGAATTTATTAGCTCCCATAACTAAGAAATTAATGGATGCAGTTGGATTCAACCATAGTGTCCTAAAAAAAAAAAGAAAACTAAAAAAGCAAAAAACAAACAAACAAACCAACAAAAAACCCCAAGACATCTTGAGGTGGGTTGCTTCCAGGGTTGATTGAGTTCTTCAAAAATGTCATCAAGTAGCACGTTCTTGATATCCTTCCCCTCCTTCCTGCTTTTGCTATAAGTAAGAGCAGATCCTGTTAGAAGGTTGTGTGTGACAAAGGAGGCTGAAATCAGTGTTTTGGGAATTTTTCATTCCTCAGGCTTATTGCCTCATAGCTGCAAGACAAGCTGCAGCTTCAAGCATCCCATCTCAAGCAAAATCAGGTGGAAGAGGGTAGGCAAGGTTAGCAAGAGAGCTCTCTATGCTTGACTCTCACTTTTTACCAGCAAAGGGAAGCTTTTCCAGGAACTCCCTAGCAGACTCATTTTATATCTCATTGACAAAATCTAGGCCATGTGACTACCTCTAGATGTAAGAAAGGCTGGGAAATCAAATGGCTGACATTCTCAGTGTCTCATGGAAGATGGGCTGTACGACCATAAAAGAAGGGAGAAGGGGAATAGCCGTGGAATAGTCAACCAGTATGCCTTCCACGGTTCCATTCTTTAGGTAGGCTTTGTCCACTTGGCAAGCAAGAGAGTCACCAGTATTCTCTACATTGACAGTTAATACTATACTCTTTCCCTTCTAACCCTCAATTTTAGTTCTGTAACAATATATTAATATTTAAGTTCACTGGCAGTCTTTATGTTGATGTCTCTCTAGTAATTTTGTTTGTCTGAAGCTCATTCTCTATTAGATTCCTCAGGAAGGACATGTAGGAACAAAATTCTCAAGTTCTTCTATGTTGATAACAGTTTGTACCTTTTGAAAGTTAGTGTTGCTGGATATAAAAATCACTGGCTCATACTTTTATCCTTTGCATATACCTTAAATATATTACTCTTTTCTTTAGCCATTATGAATTTCTTTTTTTTTTTTTTTTTTTTTGAGTCAATGTTAGTGAGAAGCCATTATGAATTTCTATCGAAAAGTCTAGTAATAGGCTGGTGCGGTGGCTCCTGTCTATAATCCTAGGACCTTGGGACACTAAAGCAGAAGGATCACTTCAGGGTAGGAATTGGAGACCAGGCTGGGCAACACAGCATACAGATGGGGTCTTTCATAGAGAACCCATCTCTATAAAAAATAATAAATAAATAAATAAGCCAGGCTAATTTATTATGCCTGTAGTTCCAATTACTCAGGAGGCTGAGGTGAAAGGATTGCTTGAGGCCAGGAGTTTGAGGTTTCATTGAGCTATGATGACCCCACTGCACTCTAGTCCAGGAAACAGAGTGACACCTTGTTAAAAAAAAAAAAGAAAAATTCTAGTGATAATCTAATTTTGTTTTCCTTACAAAGTCACTTACTCTTTTTGCCAAGATTTTTTTCTTTTTCCTTGAAATCTAGTAATTTTAGTAAAATATGCATTGGCATTGAACATTCTGGGGCAGAATTCTCAAGTACATTCTTTCAGAATGTAGCTTTAAATCTTTTTACTTCAGGATAGTTTTCTTGAATTCAGCTTTTAGTATTAATTCTTTTCCCTTGCTTTGACTTTTTTCTTTAGGGAATCCTGTTACTTATGATAGATTCTTATCAACTGTACCAAATATTTGTCCCTTTCTCTCAAAACCTTTTAAAAAATCTATTTCCTTTTTAGTTCCATAGTTATCCTTATTTTTACCTTCTATTTCTCTTAAGGAACTATCTGTTGTGCTTATTTGCTCTTATGTTCCTTTTTTAGGTAAGTTTCTGTTTTGAAATTTTTTCTTTTATTTCTAATTATTTCCTTTAGTTCTGTCACATAATTTCAGAGTTTTCCTGATCTGTGTTGTTCTCTCATGACTTGTATCATTCTCCTAGTGTCTTGTAGCTTGTTTTAAAATGGGCTGTAGTTTTGATCTGTTTCATGACATGCTTTCATTATCTCTAGGGATGTTATTCTACTCCTTACTCCTTTTTTTTTCTTATGATAGCTTTGTATGGGGTTTGATGTTGATACTTTTCTGTTGCTCATGTTGGAAAAATTGGCTTTTCTTAATTTTCAAAAGGAGGTTTTGTTCAGAATAGTTTTCTACTCTCAGTTTTCTTTTCTATTGTTTTTCTGTAGTGTTGAAAAAAATGATGTCTAGCCTCCTGAGATTTCCTGGTTTCTATTTCCCTCCCCCACATTTATCTGGACCTTCTTTTTCTCTCTATTGCTTCCATCCTGCTCGTTTTTTCCCCCCATTGGAAACACAGTGTGATATCCTGCTCGATTTTTATTCTACTCCTAGTAGTTTCTCCATGTTGAGCTCTGTCCCAAAAGGGAGCCCTTGCTGGTTGGATTCAAGGGTTTATAGGGCATAGATTATTTCAGCTCCTACAGACCTCACCTCACCTGCTATAAGAGCAGGTAAAATCCCTTCCAATTTTACCTGCTGTTCTTAAATGGCCCCTCTACTTTCCAGTAAATGCTTGTTGGATGTTGAGGGCTTCCCTACTCTCTGGTCTTTCTGGTGCCTCATTGTTCCCCTCTGCTTCCTTCCTCATCAATGGCAATACCATGTGGGGCATGAGGTTGCAGGTAGTTTGTCTCTACCCACTTTTATTTTAGGATTTGTAAGGATCCCTTGTCCCCATTTTGTTAAAAATGTCATCTATGGATTTTTGGTTTTGCTATCTAATTGCTCTGTCATTATTATGTGAGGAGTTGGAAGAGATTTCAAAGCTATACTGTCACTGTTATCATCTTCTCAGAGTCCCTTCTGGCATTAGTTTTTTTGTTTTGTTTTGTTTTTGTTTTTGTTTTTGTTTTTGAGACAGAGTCTCACTCTGTTGCCCAGGCTAGAGTGAGTGCTGTGGCGTCAGCCTAGCTCACAGCAACCTCAAACTCCTGGGCTCAAGCAGTCCTGCTGCCTCAGCCTCCCGAGTGGCTGGGACTACAGGCATGCACCACCATGCTCGGCTAATTTTTTCTATATATATTAGTTTGGCCAATTAATTTCTTTCTATTTATAGTAGAGACAGGGTCTCACTCTTGCTGAGGCTGGTTTTGAACTCCTGACCTCAAGCAATCCACCTGCCTTGGCCTCCCAGAGTACTAGGATTACAGGCGTGAGCCACTGCACCCGGCCTGGCATTTGTTTTAAAGGGTCATTCTTGTCCTTATGTGAAGCAGAGACTGTAAGGTGTAGGAGGCAAAGGCCAAAGCAGGGAGAAGTGTTAGAAGGGTATTGCAATAATGCAGTGGGAGATGATGGTGACTTGGGCTGGGAAGAGGAGGGCAGATGGTGGTAGAAGTGGTGAGAATTGGTTGGATTCTGGATACATTATATTTTGAATGTAGGGCTGATGGCATTTTGTAATGGATGGGTGTTTTGTGTGTGAGAGAAGAGTCAAAGATAACTACAAAGATTTTGACCAAAGCAACTGGGAGAATGGAGTTTCCATTTACTGAAATTGGAAGATTGCAGTTTTGGGGGAAAGAAATCAAGAGTTCGTTTTTGGCCCTGTTAAGTTGAAGGTGCATGTTAGACATCCAATTAGAGATATGGAGTAGGCAGTTGTTTAAATGGGATTTGAATTCAGTGAGAGATCTGAGCAAGAGGTAAATTTGGGAGCAAATAGATGGTACTTAAATCCATGAAACTGGATGAGAGAGATCTCCTAGACAGTGGAGAAGAGAAGAGATCTGAGGCCTGAGCCTTGGAAGCACCATAGTGTTTAGGTAGGGGTAGTATGGATCTGATTTCTGAACACTTTGATGTTTTTTTCCTTTTTTGGTACAAAGTTTTAGCACAAATACTAAAGTTGGCAAATAACCAATTCCTAAAAAGTTAAGGGGGAAACCAGGTTCAAGGATACCGAGGACTCACACGTTCAATGTCCCTTCCCACCTCATCCTCTGTTCTTCAGATACAGGAGTGCTGCAGACTGCATTTCCCAGACCCCCTTACAGATAGGTGTCAGCTAAATCCTACAGGAGACTTCAACTAAATCCGCCAGCTAAATCTAGGATCCATCAGCTAAATCTACAGGAAACTTTAATTAAGGATTGAGTTACATGGAGGAGAGAAGCAGAGTATATGCCACCTATTCTGTGGAGCATAGCAGAGGCAGTGTGTTTTATAGCTGATGATGTGACAGTGACATCTCAAGTTGCTAGACAGCACAGAGCCCTAAATGCTCAGCCTAGAACATTTTTGTTTCACTGCTCCTAATTATTCTTTAACCCACTCAATATTCTATAATAATTTCCTTCCTGCTTATACTGGCTAGAGTAAATTCTATTCTCTGCACTTGAACCCTAGCTAATCAATTCCCTCAGTGGGTCTGGTATACTGTGTGTGTGATAGAGATGTGTGTATGAACATGAGCAGAGAATGGGGGTGTGTGTGTGAAGGGTTTGGGCTCTGGAGGGTATTACTCATGGACAATTATGTCATGTGCTCCATTAGAAGATGAAGAGGAGGACTCGAACACAGAGTTCCCGTTGCCCAAGTTCCAGGGCCAGCCCAGCGATGCTGTGCGTATCTTCTGCGGCCCAAATGTAGGATTGATATGGCCCTGGAAGACTTGCCCAATTGCTGGTCTCCTGGAGGTCCGTGGGCACCGGCTGCGGGGCCAGTACTTGCCCCACAATCTTGAGCAGCTGCGGGAAGACCTGGACAACAGCTCTCGAATCCAGCAGGCACTGACTAAATACCACATGCTGATGGAGGTAAGAACAGAAGTTTAAGGAGTGGGAGGCTGTCCACCAGTCCCATCGTGACCACCACCTCTGCCCTAAGTACCTTGTCTGCCCTTAGGGGATGCTGCGGGAGGTGCAGGAATTCTGCAGTGAACATCACTGGCTAACAACCATTTATGACTTCCTGCAATCCTGGGGGCCTCAGAAGTTGGAGGACATGAGAGGCTGTCCTGTCAAGAACTATGTGAGGCTGGTGAGCCTCTTGAATCATTGGCAGGACCGTGTCTCCAATATGCCTATCAAGTTTCTCACAAAAGGCAAGTTGCTGCTGGTGACCTGCCACGATGTACAGGCAGAGATGGGTGAGTGCTGCTTGTCTTCCCTCCTTTCCTTCCCCCTTCCTTACAGCTATACACATGGCCTGTCTTGGGCCCAGAACCTTTGGTGCAAGTCCCCTTATTGGTCCTATGGAGGTTCCCAAAGCTCCAGGTCCCAGGCCGTTCCCTCTACTATCAAAGATCTGATCATCACCGAGGGCAGCCTCTCTGTTTGGCTCTGCTCATATCCTACATTCCTTAGGAATCATGTTCCTGTCACCCAACACTTTCTATTCTTATGGTGTAGAGATGGCTTAAAGTTCAAACATGACTGAGAAAAATCTTAGCCTGCTCCTTGAGCTACTGAGCTCAGTTTCTTTACAAAGATTCCCAGAATCTAGGGTGCTCATCTCTACCTGTAGCAGTCTAAATTTATAACCATGATTTGCATATGTAAAACGTTACTCTTTTTAACTGATCTTGTCTTACTCTGTAGTCTTAACTTCTGCCAGTGGTGAAAGAAGAACATAATCTTCCCAATTAAAGACAGCACTTTCCATGTAAAGCAGTCACTTTGGGTCTAATTTGGTGTATTTTGGGTTTTGGGTTAATTGAAAATTTAACTACAGTTTTGGGTTGTTTTTATTCTTAAGCATTCTCTCCTCCTTTTTCTTTCCCAGGGTGCTATCTGGCACTGGGGAGGGCTACTGGGGCGTGTGCTCTTTACGTGCTGGCTTCTGAGATACCATAATCCTTTCCTGTTCTCTGCCCTCCTGACATTGCTGCTTCCGGTGCTGCTGTGTTCTGGGCTGGCATTGCTGGGGGGTGTGTTCTCTTGGCCTAGTAGGGCCCAGAGTTTCTACCTTTTCTGGCTTAGCCCTGCCTTGGCTCCAGCTGGCAGGGCAGATCCTTGGGGTTTTAGTGAATCCTTTATCCAGTCTCTGCCTTAGGCTGGCCACCTCCATAGCTTTTGCTTCAAGATCCCTTGCCCCTCAACACAGGAACTCCATCCAGGCCTGCTGGCTCTCAACTCTCTGCTGTCTTCCATACCCCCTGCCACCTGGGAGCTGTGGGGGACTTGTTGGCATTGTAGCTGGTCCTCTGTTTACTATAACACAGCTCACACTATGACTTCTAGTCTGCTATGACTATTTTGTGTTAGCACAGGACACCCTGAAAGGCAATCTTGTCCCAAAGTTGCATGTGGAAAGTGGGGCTCGAGAGCCCTGTATTATCGGTTTCTTCCGCAACCCAACTTGGTTTCCCTCCTCTTGCTACTTCATACTCCCACAAGGCCAAGGCTGTTTTGGTATCCTTGGGTCTCTGAGAAATATGACTTCGTCTTGTCCACTCTCATCTTCCGTGGGAGGGATGGCTTATGCCATTGTGTACTAGCAAGTGCCTCAGCTAGGAGCTGGCCTTGGAGAGGCTCAGAGAGGGGTAGATTGTGAAGCCAGTGATGTATTCTTCTAGGAAACAGGGAAGTGGTTCTGTTTCCTCACCTAGCCCCCAAGGATGACAATAACCAATAGTACCCACTTCTGCAGAAACTAGAATCTATCAGACCCATGGTTCCCCAGGCCTGCTTTCGTTGTGAAGGTGAGAGGCCTTGGAACTGGGGCCTAGAAAGAGTTTGTTTGAATGTTGCTGTTTGCCTAGCCCTTCCTATCAGATGAAAGCACATGCCTCATTAGGTGTCTTACAGGCCACTGAAACGGTCTGCTCTTATACAGGGGATTCAGGTTGGCAAGGCAGGAAGAGGGAGGGCCTGCGATTGGTCTGCTTTTTCTCAGGCCCTGTTTTTGGCAGCGTCTGCTCCACTGTTGTTCCAGTAGCTTGTGTTCTCTTTTTAGTTTGTTAGTTTCTTGATCCTTAGTCCAGAATTAACTGGCTTCTACAAGAATAACAGATGGAAAGAGATAAGCACTGGGTTTAGAATCCTGGGCCTATTTTTTACTTGCTTTGTAACTTCAGATCACTGAGCTTCTGTTTCTTTATCAGTCATCTGAGCATGATAATGCATTTACTCACAGGGTTATATTAATAGTAAACGGTTTAAATAAGATATTATTTGTAATGCTCCTAGTTTTGAGCATGGCATGTAATAAGTACTTAATAATTTTTTTCCATTTCACATTATCCCCTTCTGTCTACTCTCATCCTTCTTGCTGATGTAATTTTTATCTTCTTATCCTCTGACTCTGTTTCTCTTCTTCCTGGGCTTCCTTGAACAATGAGTGGCATAATTATCCACTCTAGTGAGTTGGCCTCCTCAGACACTTGGAGCCATCCTTTACTCCTCCCTTTCCTTAACCCTTCTACATCCAACCTGTTGCCAAATCCTTTTCATTCTTTTGCCTCCTAAATATCTCTCATATCTGTTTTCCCCACCATCTCCAGCTTCCAATCCCATGGAACTCTGGTGCTTTATCAATCCATTGCTTCTTTACACCACATGGTGTCGCTGTTGAGCTCCTGGCTACCTTCACCTGCCTGATGCTACTGGTCCCAAAGCGGCACTGTTGCGATGGCCTAGCTGCTGTCATGGGTCAGAGGGATAGTTTGACAAAGGTTGAGTTCACATCTCCGTGTTCTGTTGAACATAGGGGGCCCCTCGACAAGTTCCATCCTGATAGGTCTTTGCAGTCTCAGCTCTTAGGACCCAGTCCTTGTGGTTCCTCCCTGCAAGGCTCTGAAAGTCCCATATCCAGTAGGTCTCAACTAGCTGCTTCTCAAACTCACTATTTTACTTTCTAATTGCAGAGATGCTAATAGGGGATAGGCCAGTTTACTTTTCATATAACATACAAATATATACATTTTAAAATATTTATATAAACATACTTTATGTTTATATTTGTAATGTAAAATATAATGGAGTAGGAGCCAGGTTGCCTGAGTTTGAATTCTTGCTCTGCCACTGTGTGACGTTGATCAAGTTACTCAACCTCTCTGAGTCTCAGTTTGCTTACCTGTAAAGTAAGGAGAATCATAGTATTTATCTCAAAGGGAAATTGTGAGGATAAAAATGGTTTAATGCAGTTAAAGTACTTAAAACACTGTCTGGTATGTAGTAAGAGCTCTATAATGTATTTGGTGGGATACTATATTTCTATATTTTATTTTGCTGTTCTGTGTATATTTTAGCATCTCTGAACTTAAAAGGTATCTTATGATGGCATGTTAGAGTCTAGATGGCATTATTTTTTCTTTTTTAGTGGTATATAAAATAATGGTGCTTCTTACAATTAGTAGTGTCTTAGCCGGGCACGGTGGCTCACGCCTGTAATCCTAGCACTCTGGGAGGCCGAGGCGGGTGGATTGCTTAAGCTCAGGAGTTCAAAACCAGCCTGAGCAAGAGTGAGACCGCATCTCTACTATAAATAGAAAGAAATTAATTGGCCAACTAAACATATATATATATATATATATATATATTTTTTTTTTTTAGCCTGGCATGGTGGTGCATGCCTGTAGTCCCAGCTACTTGGGAGGCTGAGGCAGGAGGATCACTTGAGTCCAGGAGTTTGAGGTTGCTGTGATCTAAGCTGACGCCACGGCACTCTAGCTTGGGCAACAAAGTGAGACTGTCTCAAAAAAAAAAAAAATAGTAGTGTCTTAGATTTGATGAGGTATCATATGGGTATTATTCCTGCCCCCTAGGACAATGAAGTTGTTCACATCACCAGGGGCAGCTTCCAGGATTATCTTCTAGCACTTTGTTCGCCTGAGAGCTTCTTTCCTTTAATCCTGAAAAAGCAAAAGGCAGGTTACCCCCTCTTCTTGGCATCTCTTCTAGAGCAGAGGCATTAAGACTCCAAAAGCCGAACATTTTTATCTCTGACAGGGCATTCTGCTCTTCACAAACATGTCATTTCCATGCTCTTGCACATGCTTTTTCATCCACTTGGAGCATTAACTACTCAACACATCCAACTTCAATGTCCCTTCCCTAGGGAGGTCTTTCCCAGCCTTCTCAGGCCCCCACTCCCTTCGCTATGCTGGGTTGAAGGCTCCAGGGCACTCACAGAGGATTTATCACACTGGTTTGTGATTGCCCATTTATATGTCTGTCTCTGCCATCATCATACTGTGAGCTTCTGAGGGTGGGGACGCTTTCTGTTTTACCCGTTCACTCTTGTCTGCCAGTGCAGAGCACAGGCCTCAGTGCATGACAGCGGCTGGATATTGAGCAGGGATCCAGTAAATGTTTAATGTGTGAAGGAATGAATTCAAGGTCTGGCCTCCCTTAGCCACTCCCTCTCTAGACTCACAGCACTGCCCCGAGCACTCCTTCATTACTGGGCACCCCCTAACACCTGGCTCTCTTGTCCCCAGAATCCAAGCTGGACAACATGAAGAAGGACATCCTTGCACAGGTGCAGAACGAGTGCTGGACTCGCAGTCAGCAGCTCATGACAGAGCTCACAGAGTTCACGCGGGTCTTCCAAAACATCAACTCGGACATTCATGCCATTGGGCAGTGCTCCCAGAAGGTAGACTCCCCTCATCCATTTTCCCCAGCTTATCCAGGGCCCTTCCTGCTGAAAAGCTCAGCACACTCTCGGATCTCTGCTGAGCTCCCAATGGGGCTTCATGCCCTTCAACCATGCTCACCTAAGTTATCTGCCCTTGTTAATTCTCAGCCTGTTCTTGTGGCGCTCAGCTTCCTCATGTCAGGGGGAGGCCCTGATGTGATGAGAGAGAGACCGGCTTTTAGAGATGTGGTTCTGCTTTGTGACAGTCAGTCAGAAACGGATATGTTGCCCTATTATCAGGGTAGTGGTGCGGTGGGTAAGAACCGGACCACCTTCAGAGAGACCTGGATCAGAGAGGGATCTGATCCCAGATTGCCCCTGATCCCAGTGGGTTAAAAGGCTGCAGCTGGGTCTGAGGCGGCCACTCCAGAGGCGGGAGTTCCCCTTGGGGATGGGCCTCCAGAGGTATGCAGAGCTGTGGCAGTGCTGTTCTCATGCTGTAATCCCTGCAGTTGGATAAGGCCAATGAACAGTACATGGAGCTGGAGAAGCGAATTGAATACATACGGGCACTCCACGAACTCATCCGCACCCACTTTAACCTCTTTAGTGCTGAAAATGAGGCACTGGACATCTCGGTGAGAGGACAATTCAGGGAGTCACCCATCCCTCCCGGTCCCCCTCCCCCACAACCACATCTACTTCATTACCCTCTGCTTGTCTCACAGCTTCTGGATGTATGGGAGGCATTTCAGTTTGAGAAGAGCCAGGCCTCAGAGTTCTTGCTCAGCAAGCGACATGCCATCGTGCCCAAGCTGCAGCAGATGATGGCAGCAGCATTGGCAGAGCTGGACAGCCTGCTTGAGAAAGCCCTGTCTGGTCCCTTCATGGACCCCACACAAGAGCAGAGAAGCACTGAGCGTCAGCTCATCTCCATGGAGCGCCAGTTCCAGGACACAGTCAACCACCTCGGTGAACTGCACCATGCCTATGTCACCTTCACTGGTACTGAGGATCTCTACCCCTGCCCCGATCGCCCTGTGATAGATCCTCCAGCTGAGATAAGGGCTGGGACTCACGGTTCTATGTCCTGTATGACCTTAAGTGAGCCTCAGGAATCACATACCTTTGTTGGTCTCTTTTATAAACAAAAATTACAAGACAAAAATCATCATTTATTGACTATGTCAGATGTTGTGTTTAGGGTGGGGATACTGGAAGCTCATGGTCTGGTAGTGAAGGCAAATAAGCAGATGTTCCATTAGAATGTGATGGGGTCAGGGGCTAAAATCCTGTGTAGGAGAAATGCGAGGGTGCCCTTATTGTAGAACTTCGCCTTTGTGTAGCCCTGTTTAACACAGTCCTATACCGAGCAGCAAGTTCCAGATAAGAACAGGTCTTGAAGCTCCAGTAGGCACTGCCTCCAGCCTATGTGTGTAGAGAGGAGGCTGCTGAGGCCTCACTAGCACACAAGAAGAGACTGGGGTAGAGCTATTGGTCGTAGCCCTTCCATACCGTGGTGCGGCTAGACTGGTTCCCTTCTGTCCATACAGAACTTTATGGGCCCAAGTTTCTTTTCTCAGATGTAGTCATTTATATCCCTCGGAAAGGCACCTTGTTTCTGAGTTGCCCCTTTGCCAGCCACCAACTACTACCATCTCTACCTGTGGGCATCCCTCAGCCCAGGGCCATTTGTCTAGATGTGAGGCAGAGGATGCTCTGGAACCAAGGAACTTTTTATTTGGCAAAGTATGGAAGGCTCTCATACTATAACTGACAGGGACTCTAGACCCTGACTTCTCCTGCTAGGGTTGAAGATATTTGTGAAAAAGCAAAGTAGAGGAGTTCAGGCCTTGTGGCGCTAGGCCCAGGAAACTCCACAGCATTGCGTTTACTTCCTCCTCACAAAACTCCCAGTTTTGTTAAAATAATCAAGGATTTTGGGTCCAGATAATTAATAACGATCCCTTGTTTTCCATTGTTTATATTTATTTTACTCATTACTTTTGCTATCCTCTCTGTTTTATAGCCATTTTAACAACTGTTTCAACGTATAAGGTTTACTGATTTATTTACATACAATTATTTTTTTTAAATCACATCTTTATTTTCATTCTTTCCTCAGATGGCTAGATTTCCCTGTGTATCTTTTTTTTCTCATAAGGGAGTTAAAGGTATTAAAATTTTTGAGTTACTTATATGTTGAGAATGACTTTATAATGTCCTTGTATCACAGCTTGGCTAAATATTAAATTCTGAAGTCACAAAATTTTTTTCTTCAAAACTTAAATATTAGATCATTGCCTTCTGACATTCAGCATTGGGAACAAATCTGATATCAATCTGCTTTTTTTAATGTAGATAACCTGTTTATCAGTTGTTTGGCAATGGCTCTTATATTTGCTCTAGTCTCCTTCCAGAATTCTTATGTGTTCAGGTTCTGAACAAATCTATATTAAAAGAAAAAAAAATTCTTATATGTACATAGGATTTACTAGATCTCTCATTCATTTCTTTTATCATCATGATTCCTTTACTCTTTTTCTCTGAGTTCTGGAAAAAAAGTTGTGATCTTATAAGCTTCCTTTTGTATGGTATCTACTCTATATTTTCCATTGCATTTTAAAACACACACACATTGTATATGCATACATGCTTATGTGGACATATATATGCATGTAAGTATGTGTTTATATATATGTGCACAGGCATATGTTTCCTAGCTCTGTCTGCTGAAGAGCACAAAAGCAAAGATACCCCAATAGCAAGAAGCAACATTGTGCTCAGATCTTAGTTTCTAATACCATTTACCTCTAAAAGGAACCAGAGCTCCTCAGAGAAATGGATGATTGCAGAGCTGTGGCAGGAACCTGGATTATCTTTTTATGCTAGAAAGTAAGGAAGTGTTAAATTAAAAAAATAAAAAAGTGAGAATGTACAAGGATGTACAGAAGCAATGCCAACTGGCCAAATTTGAGCCAATTTGAGCACTTAAGTACAGTAATAAATTCTAAACTACTGAAAAAATATTTATCATCTGCAGTAAAAATAAATAGATAAATCAATGAGGGATAAGTGAGAACTTGTGCTTACCGTAGAATGCCAAGATCCAATTGGTAAATGTAGAGAGGGGCTAAAGTGGAATAATTATTATTTTGCGGCCATCTCATGGTAGACATTAGATCAGGTAAGGATCATCACTGGATGCCAAATCTGGACAAATTTGATAAGAAGCAGAATATTTGCACTGTTTTAGAGAGTTTCTTTCAGAGACTACTTATTAATTACAAAGGAAGAAAAAAGAAATAACAATTAATGGAGAAATTTGACCAGGTGATCAAAATTAACATCACCAGTGAAAAACATGTTTACATCAAGTGCCTCCAGATGTGATACCTGGAAGAAGATACAGCATCACCTATGCAGTAGTCTAGCTGAGAATGAATAACATCATTTTAAAAAAATCATAAAAGCACAACATGAGAAACTATTAACAAAAGGGCCAAAAGGGGACTGTATACTTTAAAAATGTCTGTTACAAAAGACAAAGAAAAGCTGTGGGAATGTTCCAGATTAAAAGAAGCTAAAAGACATGACAAGTAAGTAGAGTACTTTACCCTAGATTGGACGCTGTACTTAAGGGGGGAAAATGCTATATAGGGCATTATAACAAAACCAGAATATGGACAGTAGAATATTGTATCAATGTAATGTATGAAGGTGATCATTGTACTGTGGTGAACATCCCTATTCTTAGGAAAGAAGAGAACATCCCTATTCTTAGGAAATACATACCTGAGTAATTTGGAAGTAAAGGGCTGTTGTTTATGTACCTTGCCCTTAAATAGTTTAGAGAAAAAAGTGTGTTCGTGTATGTGTGCACACGCCCATATACACAGAGCAAGTGAGCACAAATAATAAAGCAAACGGGTAAAATGTTAACAAAAGGTCAATCTAGATAAAAGGTATACAAGTACTTGTTTTACTATTTTTTCTTGGAACTTTAAAAATTTGAAATCATTTCCAGATAAAAAGTTATAAAATGCAATGAAAATTACCGAGTACATACTGCAAAATGTCCATCAAAAAACATTTGCTCTTAATCCCCAAGTTTGTCTTTATCTTTTCATGTGTTTGGAGATATCATGTCTTCTCATTCTTATAGAGAATTTGTTTATTTTTTCCAATATTTGATGTTGAGACAACTGCTATCAAAGATAATATGTGTCTCTAGGCAAATCTTTTAAGCTTAGAAAAAGAAAGATGGGAAGAGTATAGATTTACTGTCATTTTATTTTTTGTCATATCAGAGCTCTAATAGCCAAGTGATTCCTATCTTTTTAATATTCTAAGTTCTCCATGATGCCTGATGTTCGCATTTGTAAGATGCATGATTCCCAGCATTTGGATATAACGCTATCACCTTTTCTCCCACTCAAGAAAGTGTGCTGGAATTCAAGCGACTAAGAATGACAATCTTATAGCAGTAACCTTGACTGTGGTCACACAGTACTATAAGTACTATTAATTACAAGTTACTTTTGATACATATCTCACAACTTATTATAAATAATTGGTTAAGAACAAATGCAGTAACTTGTGAGATGAGGGAGGGAATAATTACCAAAGGCAAACATAACAGGGAGCATCATCATTTACCCCTTATGGCCCTCTATGCGGGCCAGATCTTTTATCATATTCATCTCACTGAACTTTCTCTTGGGCTGATGGTTTATTCACTCACTCATTCATTCATTCAACACATATTTGTTGAGTGCCTACTGTGTACCAGGCTTGAAGTACATCAATGAACAAAAGACAAAACCCTTTCCCTAATGGACCCAACATTCTAGCTGGGGGAGAAAGACAATAAATAATAAATAAAATATAACTAAAGTATGCAGAAAATGATAAATGGCATAGAAAAAAAATGAGCAGGGAAGAGGTGCTGAGTGTGCCTGGGAGGAGAGATGGCAATCTTTAGTAGGATAGTCTGCATCTGCATGGGCCTCATTAACAAGATGCTGTTTGAGCAAGGACTTGCAGTCGGCGAGGGCATGAGCCATGTGGTTCTCTGATGGAAGAATGAACTCTGATTGAAAGGGCCTTAGCAGGAGGGAGCATGTCGGGTGTGTCTGATTATAGAGTCCAGTGTGGCCAGAATGTAGTAAGTGAGATGGAGACTAATAGAAGAGGAACACTTCCCTTTCACTGTCATCACGTTTTCCCAGATATTCTTTCCTTGAAATAACTGTTCCTTGGATTGACCCCACCTCCACTGTTGAACTGAACAATTTGGAATTCTGCCCCCGTCATCACTTTCCAGACCTTCCCTTCTGTCATCCTGGCCTCTTGACCATTCCCCCAGCTCCCACCCCCTCGCCCCAAATAGGTCTCAGCCAGCCCTATTCCACAGGGGATGAGAGACCTGTGCCTTTGCCTATCTGTGGGACCCGTCCTATTGTGCAGCAGCAACGCATCTGGCACCTGTACCGAGTCATCTCTGAAAACATCAGCGAGTGGAAGTGCATGGCTTTTGCCAAGGTGCCAACACCATCACTTTGAGCTCTTTCCTGGGAGTGGAGGACTGCAGCGGTGTGGGGGGAGGATCTCAAGCTGACAGTGAGCCCTTCTCCCTGCAGTTCAGTCTGGCTATGGCCCAGGAGAAGACAAATGTCTGGCTGACGGAGGCAGCACGGATGTGCGCGACCCTGGGGCTGCACAGCCCAGTGCTGCAACGCTGCATGCGAATACTGGAGGAGTTTCGCAACTACCTGCCATTGCTCACCAAGCTGAGCAGCCTCCAACTGCAGAGCCCCATCTGCCAATCCCTCCTGCGAGGTGTGTTTGGTTACTGTCAGAGGGGTGGGGAAAGGAAGAATGTAGGGGTTAGAGCAATGCAACAACTCAGTTCCTTGCTGCTCCTGCTGGAAACATCTTTCCTTCCTAAGTTGGTCGCTACCCTTTCCTATGTATTACAACCTCTTTTCCCTCACAGGGACAAACATTTCTAACCTCCCTCACTGCCATGTGGGGTGCCCTCTGCTGATCGTGGCTGGACTCAGGCTGGGGTCTTAGCTCCGGGTTCTGAGTTGTGCTCTGGACCTTGGGTTCTAAGCTCTCGGCTCTATGTTACTTCCTGAAATCCACTGTTTGGGGTCTGAGCTGGGTTGGGCTGGGCTCTGGGTCCTGGATCTGGGCTTAGGGGCTTAGGATAGAACCGGGCTCTGGGACATGGGCTAGACTCTGCCACCTACTGGGTGTTGCTCTGACTTGTTGTCTCGTCTACCTCCAGCCTTAGGGCTGGGCAGTCACCAAAACCTAGAACGCCTAACACTGGGCCAGCTGCTCGCTTGTCCACTGCTGGAGTTTGCAGATCGAATCAACCAGGTGGGGCCCACAGGAGGAAGGGAGGATGGAAGTGGGAGAGAGAGGGAGGGAGGGAGGTCTGAGATCAGGACCTGTAATGAAGCCACTCAAGGCCCAGAAGCCCCTGGAGAAAAGGGGGCAGTAGATGTTGGCATGTACGTGAGTGGGGGTTGAGATTGCTGACCTGCCTGGAGGGTAGGAACAGTTTCCTTCAGATGGGGATCTCATGGGTGGTTCTAGACACAGTGACTGAGACTATATCTCCCCTCAACTGGGAAAGGAAGTGGATGTCAGCCCTGTGGGCCCCTGAAGTTGTGGGCCCACAGAATGGCAGATGTTCCCCAACACTTACCCTTGGCCCCAAAGAACACAAGCTGACTGAGGTATTGTCTGCTCAGGTAGAGCCTTGCAAAATGGTGGGTTTCAAGGCAGTGACCACAGGTCTAAGTAGTTAGATGCTACCAATGGCCTATCTTTGAAGCCTGATGCTTCCACTTTCACTTCATCCTCTGATTGCTGCCCTTTGAGTTCTGCCTCAGACCCAATCCCCAAGCCCCAGCTCCAAGGCTATCCCCTAAGCCATTATGCAGTCCTGGTTCCTGAGACCCAGCTGTTCCAGGTCTGGCAGTACGAAAACAACCGAATTCAGGCCCAAGAGACCCTACGGAAGCTACAGCGGCATTGGGAAGTTCGCCAGCTGCGCCTGCTCAACTTCATCCTGCATGTCCCCTACAAGCCACCAGTCTCAGAGCGTTCCAAGAGACACATGCTCCACAGCCCCCAATGTGAGGTAGTGGACAAGGATAGTGGCACCTTTATCCTCTCAGGTGAGATTCAGCCCTTGTGGCCCAGTGAAAATCCCCTCCTTGGGGTCATTTTCATCCACCACATCCTCCAAGCCCTGCCAGATTTGGCTCCTCTAGCCAGGGCCCCATCCTTACTAGGCAGCTTGAGACACCAGTCTGTTCTGAGACAGTGTCTTCCATGTAGCTCCCATACCATCTTTATCTCCTTGGGAACCCCCTACACACCTCCCTCTCTCCACCCAATGCCTGACTCCTTCAGTAGAGGCCCTTTCCTTTCTGATTGTACTCAGAAATTCCTCACAGTCACTCCTCTCCACCTTTCAATGCTCTGTCCTCTAGATTATACCCTGCTATCTGATTTTATACCTCACTCATTCATTCATTCATTCCTTTATTCTTTCCCTCATCAAAATCACCTGCCTACTCTGTGCTAAATACCGGAGACCCTGAGATTTACAGACAGCGGCCTTGTCCCTCAGGAACTCCTGGTCTAGTGAGAGGCAGACATTAGTACAGGGATAAGTGCATGATGGAGCACCTTACTGAGGGCAGTAGAACCTCAGAGAGAGGTCCAGCTCAAAGAACCAGAGATAATCAGAGAAGTCTTCCCTTAGGCTGAGGTATCATGATGACTTTTGAAGGAGAAGGAGTTTGCCAAATTTGCAAGGCAAGAAGGGCATGCCAGATACAGGGAACAGCACATGTTACAAGCATCCACGATAATGTAGTTGAGGAATTGCTGGTAGAGGAGAAATTCTCTGATCTAACACAGTTGGAATCCAATCAGTTCATCTAAAAAATTAGTTAGAGAAACCACAAAATATGATGTATATACATAGTCTAAACATATATAGGTATATTTATTAATATTGTACATGTACATTAGCTTAAAATATACATGTGCATTTAGCTTAAAACATACATTTATTTATTAACCTAAAGACACCCATTGATAGTTCCTCACTGGCTTTCTTGCATTAATATATTGTCTACTATTTCTACTTTCATTTTCTGTAAAGTGAGGCAGCAACATAAAGATACTTGTAAAGTTACTTGAGTCCAGAACTTTTCCAGATTTTATTATAATTTCCTGATTTTTAAAAATTAACTTGCCTATATCCAATAGCTTGTTTTTATGATCAGCTTGCCTTTACTGAAGCCTTGCATAGTTTTCATAGAAACAGCAACTCTTTTCCCACCCATATTATAGTACTTAACACAATATTAGATTCATTCTGTAATTAAAATTATAACTGAAATAGATTTGCAAACATATTCTGACTCTTGGCAAGCATACAGTTCAACTCGTGGAAGCAAAAATGTTTGGGTCTTCTAAAGACTAGCTTGAGATTTGTGAGTTTCAGTTGAATTCTCAGCATTATTCAGTATATTTTATGGTAAGAATGTGTAGCATTCACAAAAAGAGCTTCTAATTCTGGGGGAAAGTGGGGGAAAATGGGGGAACTTGAGCTATGTAGGAGTCCAACTAGGGAAAACATGTAACTGGTCCAACTTCTGCATGGAGGAGAATTTATGTCTCCTGTTCTAACATGGATGTTCCTCATCACCCAAACTCTTTATCCTTATCACCCTTCATGTCCAGTATTTGACTAGGGATGCCTTTGCCAGCTATTTGCAGGACATTGATAATGTACCCAGCCTCCTTGTTCACATCATTCTTAATAAGGACTCATAGGCTTTGGTGCTGACAGATACAAAGGCTGGATTTCTACAGTTAACATTTCCACCAGAATCCAAAGGAGATTATCTTCCTGCTTTTGTACTGAACACATTTTTTTTTGAGAAACATTGATCCATTGGTTTATTTTTATCTTTTAATATTTATTTCAGCATATTATAGGGGTACAAATGTTTCTGAGCACATTTTATGCTGATCCTTTTGCCCATCTCTGACTCTAATTCCACATTTTACAGATCTACTTCTATTGATACTTCAGTGGTCCCCAACTTTTTTGGCACCAGACGCTGGTTTCATGGAAGATAATTTTTTCATGGACCAGGGTGGGGGTGGTGGTGGTGGTTTTGAGATGATTCAAGAGCATTACATTTATTGTGTACTTTATTTTTATTATTACATTGTAATATATAATGAAATAATTATATGACTCACCATAATGCAGAATTACTAGGAGCCCTGAGCTTGTTTTCCTGCCACTAATGCCACTGCTGATCTGACAGGAGGCAGAGCTCAGGTGTTAATGCAAGTGATAGGGAGCGGCTATAAATACAGATGGAGCTTTTGCTCACTGCTCACCTCCTGCTGTGCGGTCTGGTTCCTAACAGGCCATGGACTGGTACCAGTACTGCTGGGCCTGGAGGTTGGGGACTGCAGCTCTACTTGGTCTCTACCACTTTTCTGCATCATCTTTAAATTCCTCTGCTACTAAAAGTAATAAATAAAAATTCACAGTAGAGTACAGGCTCTGGATAGTCTGGGACTTGGCCTGTCTCTGAGCATAACGTCAGACACCAGTGTGGGTCCTCCCAGTCCTCACTTGAGCTCACAGCCCTTCCCACCACCTTTCCTCCCTTCCAGTTTTCCCTTCTCTCTCTGAGCTGGCATTTGTACCAAGAACATGTATGGTTGGGGTTTCTCCCTACAGGTTTCTCCCTATCCTTTCTTTGTGCCTGGCTTTATTTCCCTATTAATTCCAGGCATGTTAACCAAGGACCACATACATCTTTGTGGTGGCCACACACCATTAGGCTGGTGACTTCCTTCACCCAAATGAGCCCAAAGACGATGGAACTTCTCTTGTATTTAATTTCTACCCCAGGAAGACAGATTGTTGTAAGGTTGAGCATAGCGAGTAATCATTAATTCTCCCCTTTAGTTTATTAACCAAATGAGAACAAGGAGCTACATAAAAATGAAAGTGTGATATCAGAACTATTACCCGCAAGAAACTGTGTGTTTTTTATGTACTGGGTTGACAGACACAGCTTAGATCTAAGTCAAGTGAGTCTTCACATTATCTTTACACAACCTTCCCCAAATCAATTGACAACCTGAGATCTGTGTGGATATGCAGAGGGGAGTTGAAGTACATTTACTCAGGTAACTGCATGGAGGATTGTGGCCTGCTTCGTGTCCCTTAGAGCATAAGAGCCTTTGGGCCTTTTTACCTCCACATGGGGAGAAGCATGTAAAGGGGATAGACAGAGGTACTAAAAATATTACACCTGTAATGTTTTTTCTAGAGAGTACAGTATAAGTTCTTTCACTCTGAGAGCAGGACACTGAGAATTTTCTCCCCAACAGGGTGTCTGGAGAATCCTCCATCTGTCTGAATCAACCCCCTTCCTCGATTCTTCTCCCCAGTTAGTGTCCTTACCTCACTTCTCTCATGGCATGATGGCATAAATCTTTAAGCAGTACCAGGGAGCCAAATGCTAAGACTATGAGAGAAAATTTTGATCTCAGCTTTTCTACCAGGACCCCTTTCATGCCAGCATGGGCATTCTTGCTATAGAAATATAATATTATGTACAGATTTGGAGCCATTGAGCCCTCTTCCCAAGCAGGAGGCTCCAGTTCTTCAAAGAACTTCCATGGAACTAGATGGATACCCATAGCATCTAGCCAGGGAAATTAGCTGGCCTGGAGTCTTCCCACTATGCCTGGGGAAGGCGAAGTTTCTCCTCTCCCTATTTTGAGACCCCAGTGCTCTACTGGTTCTACTGTATTGTTCAATGCAATCCTTGAAGATAGAAAGAGTACCAAGTTCTCTGTAACTACCTCCACTGGAAGGTCACCTGGTCTACCCTTCTCTGCTTCAGTACCTGCCCTTGGCCCATCTGACTACCAGCTCAGCTTTTTCTTCCTTAGATTACAGCAGCCTGAAGGATTCCATCCAGGAAAGTCTTCAAGTGTTGTTCAAGGTCCTGGCCATCCAAAAATCAGGAGACTTACACAAAATATCTCTGGAGTGGGTGACCATCATGCATGGCCTGAGTGAGTGTAGGCCTCTAGCTGCGGTGATGGGTGGGACCTGAGGCAGGATGGCCCAGCATGGTAGGGGCAGGAGGTAGAGGTTGGGTGGGGGAAGATATGAAGGACAGAGTGCGGACTTACTTCAGGACCTATTTCTTGGGATCAGGTGACCAGGTCTTTATTTATAATAAGAGTTTTATCTCCCCCAAGTAAGGTCCCTGGGTCCTGCTGAGCAGAGCATTTTGGTTGGCCTAGTGAGACACCAGAGAAGTCAAGAGCAGGCTGGACCCCCTTACAGAAGCTAACACCTTAGTGTCTTCCACCAATGTTCCTCTGGCTTTTATACAGGTGCCCTGCTGGAGGTGTGGGTAACTTTCCAGCAGAAGTGGATTTTTCTGAATAAAGTTCTGCATGAGATGGAGATCCAGTTTCCTAATGCTGACCTGGTAGGGAAGGAGGGGGCTGAGGCAGAGTGGGCAAGACAGGCTTGTGAATAGTGGGGCTCAGGGTGGGAGGGGGAGCTGTCACTTCACATTTGTCCTCACTTTTACCCTTTCTCTTGCCACAGGACTCTCGTTTCAAGGCCACGGATGAACAGTATCGAGCCCTGATGCACATCTCTGTAGCTGACCCCATGGTTCTGTCACTTATAGTGCCCAGTGCCAAGAGGAGCCCTTACTACCAAGGCCAGCAGCTGCAACAACTGCTGCAAGCAGGATCAGCGGAGCTGGAGGGTATCATCATGGCTTTGGAGAGTGTGCTATATGGGATGTGTGCTTACTTCCCCCGCCTCTTCTTCCTCAGTGACAGTGAGCTGGTAGCCCTGCTGGCTTCCCCACTAGAGTCATGCGAGGCCCAGCTATGGGTCCAACGCTGCTTTCCTCACGTGCATGCTGTGAGTTTCAAGTCCCGTTCAACTGATGAGAAAAACAGGAACGACCAGGCACCAAGCCCAAGCACACAGGCTGAGCTGGAGGCACTTGCAGTGCTAGGGGTGGGTGGGGAGGTGGTGAAGCTGCAGGAGCCCCTTCCTCTGCATTCAGATCTCCCTAAGTGGCTGGCCTCTCTGGAGAAGTGTCTGCGCTTGGCATTGGTGCACATGCTACAGAACTGTGTGGCTGCCCGCCTTGCCCAGGGGCCATCCCTAAGTGAAGCCTTCAAGCAAAGCCAGTTGCCCCAACAACTATATGTCTACCGCTGGCTGGATTTAGTCGAGGCCTTCCCATGGCAGTGTGTGCTGGTGGCAGAGGAGGTGGTGTGGCGGGCTGAGATGGAGGAGGCTCTGCTTAAAGGGAGGACCCCAGCCATGGCCACCGTGCATACGCGCAGGCTTGAGGCACTGGTGAATTTTGTACGGGGCCAGAGGGGCTCCCAGGATGGGCAGCCCCTTTCCTCTGTCCGCCAGACCAGCCTGCTCAGTGCCCTGCTGGTCATGGCAATGACTCACCGGGATATAGCACAGTTGCTGGAGCAGCACCAGGTCAGAGATCTAACAGACTTCCACTGGGTTCGCCAACTTAAGTATCACTTGGGTTCATCTCACATGATCCTCCAAACCCCCCTGAAAAGTCTCAAGGCTATCACATCTACTGAGCCTTCTGTGTCACCAGCTGCGTGCTGGGTAGATGTACTGGGCCGGTCCTTCCTGTACAATTATGAGTACCTGGGTCCCAGACTGGGCCCTCTACCCAGCCTGCTGCCAGAGCGAACAACCCTGGTGCTGTTATTGGCCCTGGAGGAAGTGGTCTGTGGGACCCTCCTGGGCCCTGATGGTGTGGGCAAGGTTGCTACAGTGAAAAGCCTGGCACAGGCCCTGGGCCGCCAGCTGGTGATGCTGTCCTGCTCACCGCAAATAGAGGCCCAGTGCCTGAGCAACTACCTGAATGGTGCCCTGCAGTGTGGTGCCTGGCTGCTGCTGGATGCAGCTCAGCACCTGCCCTCTGGCTTGCTCTCTGCCTTGGGCCAGCGCCTGGCTGAACTGCACCACATTTATGCCCCACTGTATCAGGAGGCTTCCCAGACCACCAGCACCACAGACCCCACCCAGCCCCAGCTCCTTGGCAGTGGTTTCTTTGAGAAACATCACGTGTCCATGCGCCTTGGCTATGGCTGTCTCCTGACACTACGTGCCCTGAGCCCTGTTGTGCCTGCCAACCTGCACTTGCTACTGCGGCCTGTGGCATTGGCACTTCCTGATCTCCAGCAAGTGGCAGAGCTGACCCTGCTGGGAGCAGGGGTGCGGGATGCCTCCCGCATGGCTACCCGCCTATCCAAATTCTTCTTCCTAGAGCGTGAGCTTGTGTCTGGGCCCCTGCCCTGCCGGTTGCCACTGCTCAAGCAGATACTAACAGACACAATACAGACACTAAATGAGACCAACGGGAAACCCAAGACTCAACAGCAGCACAGCCAGGCTGCCATTGAGGAGGCTGCCCTACTGCATGCCCTGCTGCGCTCACCACTGTTCAACATCCTCAATGGGCTCCGCCTGCATAACCTCCGAGAGCTGCTCTGTGGGCTTTTCCCTAATGCCAGCCACGTGTTGGCAGAGCCTATGACCCAAAGGCTGCTGAAGCCACTAACGGTGGAAGAACTGAGGCAGGTAGGCCTGCATCCCAGCCCTGACATTTTGGGGTCCCTGGAACAGCTGAGCCAGGCCCTGTGCCGGGCCTCAGGCATTCTGCTCCTGGGACCTGCAGGCAGTGGCAAGACCACTTGTTGGCACAGCTTATTTAAGATCCATAATCGGCTGGCAGCCATGGAGGCCACCTCAACCCATGGCTACCAGCCTGTGGAAATTACCCACCTATACCCCAGTGTCCTCAGTCCCCAGGAGTTCTTGGGATGGATAGAGGGCCCCTGCTGGCACCATGGTGTCTTCCCCAGGGTACTTCAAGCAGCCAGTCAGTGTAACAACATGGGGCCAAAAGGGCAGAAGGGGGAATCAGTGGGGATCCAGCACTGGATAATATGTGATGGGGCCTCTAGTACCGCTTGGCTGGACTCCATCACTTGCCTCCTGAGTGAGCCCCCCCAGCTTAGTCTCCCCAGTGGACAGCAGATAGCACGACCCCCAGGTACCTTTCTCCTGATGGAGGTGGCAGATGCAACAGGCATGTCTCCCACAGTGGTGGGCTGTTGTGCCCTAGTCTGGTGTGGTGGGGAGCAGACTTGGCAGTGCGTGCTTAGTGTCCTGATGGCATCCCTGCCCCATGAGTACCACCTGCAGCAACAGACACTCACGGAGCTCAACCGCCTGGCTGAAGTTCTGGTGCCTGCCACGTTCCGATTCCTCACCCGCCACGGTGCCAGCTCTGTGCTGCAGGTACATGGGCAGCAGGCTGTTTGCCCAGGTGTGGCAGAAGTCACCAGCCTGGCCCGCATCTTGCGTGCTCTGCTTGACCTCCACCTGAGTCTAGAGGAGAAGAAGGCACATGGCCGAGGTGAGGAGATGGACAGGCTGATTTGAGAGAGATGGGACCTTGAGAGTGGCTAGGGTATACTGGAGTCTGGGTAGAGCTGGGTCAGGGGGTCTGAAAGTGAAGAGAAATAATATAGTTACCATCTATTCTTTCCTCCATTTCCCACCCCCCTACTTTTTCTACTGGGCTCCTATTCTTACCATGATGACCTTTGCAGAGGACCTCAGCTTTAGCCATCCTGTGTCCCAAAGCATCAAGTCTTCAAAACGCAGCTCTCTGAACCAGGCCCAGGCTGACAGCAATGACGTATCGAATAATCACAGGGAACACTTGCTGGCTGTCAGCAGTTTTCTCTTTGCCCTGATCTGGGGCTTTGGAGCCCACCTTCCCTCCAGGTGCCTACAGGGATGGGGGATGGGGGAAGCAGAGGGCTGAGATGGACTGGCCCAAGGACGTCAAAACCCATGTGACATCACTGTTGGGGTATGGTGGACTGTGTGAGCATCTCACAAATTGAAATGTTGTAACGTATGACACTTTTGCCTGTGTGTCCCTCTGAGCAGGCTCTGGCTCCTCTTTGATAACTTCATGAGGGGTTCCATTTGCTGCCTCTCCAACTACCCTGAGCCACCACCCTCAGCCTTGGTGTTCGATCTACATGTAAGCCCTGAAGATGGGACACTGGCCCCCTTCACTGGGCAATACCTGAGCAACCACGTGAAAGCGCCTCTGGGCACCTTCCACCCTATTACTCAGGTGTGAAGACAGTGGGGCGGGAACTGGGTTTGGGATTTAAGGAGCCATGCTAGGGACAATCTGTGTCCAAAGCTCCACTGAGACCCACCTTCTTCCCTTCTTTGATAAGTTTTCGCAGTCACAAGAATACATAAAGTATTTTCTAAGTACAGCTCTAAGACAAGTCCCCTAAACCTTTATTTTCAACTGTCCTACCTACACTGGAGCTGCCACAGTAAAACCCTGCTTCTGTTCTGCAGACTGAACCGCTCTTTTATGTGGTGGACCTGCTTCTGTCAGCGGGACAGCCAGTGCTGCTGGCTGGAGAGGCAGCAACAGGGAAGTCAGCCTTTGTGGAGGCGCTAGTGGAGCCAAGTCACCCTTACATATACAGCACCATCCACCCTGCCTTCAGCTCCACCCACCTCCGTCTCCTGCTGAGTAAAGGGGTCCAGGGCCAAGCCCAAGCCAGCCTGCCTGGGCACCACCAGGATTCTAAAGGCTCCCTTCTCTTCCTGCTGGAGGATCTGCACCTGGCCACTTCTGGTGAGGAGCTAGGAGGAGGGAAGGAAGGAGCTACTGTCATCTCTTGAGACTATAAAATCCCTAGCAATATTCCTTGACTCTCAAATATATGTCTGCAGATTGAACTTTAGTGTTCCATTCTTAATATCTTCTCATCTCTGAGCAATCTCACCCACCCATGGCCTTATCCACCATCTCTTTGCTTTAACTGTTAAACCTCTCTCCAACCCAGGCTTCTCTTCTAAGCATCAGACCTGTTTGTTGAACTACCTACAGTACATCTCCACCTTGTTGTCCCATTGGTATCTCAGACACAACCCTGAGCTTATCATCTTCCCCCCACAAAATCTGGTCCTATGTGTCCTCTTAGTAACTAGTTTCAACATCCAACAAGTCACTTAAGCCAGAAATCTTGCTGACATCTCCTTCTCTTTCACCAATGTCTAGTCACCAGGTCTCTCAATTCTGCCTCATAAATATCTCTTGAATATTTCCACTTATTTCCATGGGTCAGATAATCATTACTTGGAACTTTGGCAAATGTCCTTGCAAAGATTTTTGTGATGAGGCTTTCTTCTGTATCCTCTTACACTCTGGGCCCTAACTGGACTCAACAAGGCAGGCTTCCTCTAGCCTCTAGGGTTGCTGTCCTCTGTGCTTTCTCTCCTCTATTTGGCTAAATCTTACTTATTCTTTCCAAATTATCTAAGGCAGTAGCTCCTCCAAGAAGCCTGAGCTCCAAGGTAGGTTACACATCTATCCTAGTTCTGTACAATAACCTACGGTAACCATGATTTTAGGATTGTATACCTACTTGCCTGTCCCTTTCACTATGCTCTGAGCTTTATGAGAAGAGGGATTTGTCACATTCATTTTGATAGGCCCAACAGGAAGTAAGTGCTCAATAAGTTTGAGGAAAAAAAATATAACAAAGGAAAGGGGAGAATTTGTGATGAAAGTTTGGAATATTGATTTTTAAAGTTTCTAAAGTGATGTACCTCCACATGACAAGTTCTAAATATGGGCATGGGATCGGTAGGAGTGAAGTGTATGTGTAGATTGTTGGAGTCAAGGGAGCCAATGGGCTAAAGCTTTGGATGGGTTTGAGTCAAACAGTGAATCCCTTATGGGGTGCAGAAAACTTGAACCAGGTGTATCACTACTTAATAATAGCAGGTACAACTTATTGAGTATTTACTATGTGCTACATGCTTAATATATGTCATGTTTAGTGTTTATAAAAGCCTAATAAGATGGAGAATTTTGATGATTATTTTAAAGGTAGAGAAACTGAGACAGATTTTATAACTTGCCCAAGACATCCTAGCTATTAAGTGTTATAATGAAGATTAAAATTCAAGTCTATCTGGCTCCAAAACCTGTAGTTCATTCCAACTGTAATATATTAGTTAGCCTTTGCAATGAATTTATACAAATAATTAGGGAGTCAGTAGAAAATAGAAGGGGTAAAGGGTAATATAGCCAGATATGTGAAGAGATTTCAGCTGAGAAGAGATTTCAGCTGAGAAGAGATTTCAGCTGAGAAGTGATTCCAACACCAGGGTTGAAGACGCTGCAAGCAGCGTTGTAGAGTGTAAAAGGTGTCCTTGATCAATAATCACCAAAACATCCAGTATAAAATTAAAATTAATATAAAAAAAAAAAGAACAGGAAAAATGTGACCCGCTGTCAACAAGAAAGAGTAAAAAAAAAGTTGACCTGACCTTGAGATGGTCTAGATGTTAGATTTGGCAGACAAATACTAAACATTAAAGACAAATACTACTTTAAAGCAACTATTATAAAAGTATCCAAATACTTAAAGAAAAATATGATCTTAATGAGTAACCAGATAGGGAATCTTAGCAGAGAAATGAAAACTACTAAAAGGAACAACATACTTAAGGGTGATATATTGAATACTTTCCCTCTAAAATCAATCAAAAGGCAAGAATGTACACTGTCACTGCTTCTAGTTAATATTATACTGGAGACCACATCAGTGCAATAAGATAAGAAAAAGGAATAAAAGCCTTTAAAATTAAAGAAGACAAAGTAAAACTGTCTGCATGGCATACAGCGTGATTGTCTATATAAGGAATCTACCAAAAAAAAAAAAAACAAAAACACCACCCACAAAATTACTAGAATAAATAAGTTAATTTATCAGGTTCACAGGATACAAAGTCAGTCTACTGAAATCATTTGTATTTCTCTATCCTAGTCACAAACAACTGGAAATTGAAATTTTAAAATATTGTGTGAATACCATTTAAAAGCTTAAAATACTTAGGAATAAAGTTAATAAAAATATATAAGATATGTACACTGAAAACAACTATGTATTGCTGAGATAGAGGAAACTTAAATAAATAGAGAGTTATATAATGCTTATGGATCAGAAGAGTCGATATCATTAAGGTGTTAATTCTCCCCATATTGATCTATACATTCAATGCAATGCCAGTATAAATCTTAACAGGCTTTGTGTGTGTGTGTGTGTGTGTCTGTGTGTGTGTGTGTAAATTGACAGGCACATTCTGAAACTTATATGGAAATGCAAAATACCTACCTAGAAGAGCCAAAACAACTTTGAAAATGAAGAACAAAGTTGTAACACACTAGTGATTTTAAGAATTGCTGTATGTACAGCTATAGCAATCAAGAATGGGGTATTGGTATAAGGTTATAGATATAGACTAATGGAATAGAAAAGAGAATCTAATATATGGTAATATATGTTGTATTTGGCCAGTTGATTTTCAATAAATGTGCCAAGAAAATTCAGTGGGGGAAAGGATCGTCTTTTCAAAGAATGGTGCTGGAACAGCTGGATATCTGCACAGGACAAAATGAACTTTGAATCCTGCCTCGCAACATAGATAAGAATCAATTATAAATGGATCACAGACCTAAGTGTAGAAGCTAAAACTATAAAAACTTTTAGAAGAAAATGGAGAAAAATCTGTGTGACCATGGTTAGGCAATGATTTCTTAGATTAGGCACAAAAATTATATTTTATCAAGATTAAAAACTTATGCCCTTCAAAAGATGCTGTTAAGAAAATGAAAAATGAAAATGAAAAAAATGAGCCATAGTCAGAGAGAAAATAGGCACAATACATATATCTGACAAAGGACTTGTACCCAGAATACATAAAAAGTGCTTACAACTCAAAAGAAAAAAAAATCCCAATTTTTTTAAATAGACAAAAGACTTGAACGGACACTTCACAAAACAAGATGTGTGAGTGGCCAATAGCGTAGGAAAAGATGCTCAGTGTCAGTGAACTGCAAATTAAAACCACCATGTGATAGCACTTCACACCAATTAGAAAGGCTGACAATAATAAGTGTTTTCAAAGACATGGAACAACTGAAACTCACACTTTGCTGGTGAGAGTGTAAAATGGTACAACCACTATGAAAAAAAACGTGCTAGTTTCTTACTAAATCGAATATCTACTTACCATATGACCCAGTGATTCCACTTGTAAGTATTCAGCTAAGTAAAATGAAAACACATGTCCTTAAATAAACTTACACATGAATGTTCACAGCAGCATTATACTGCCCAGCCAAACCTGGAAACAACGTAAATGCCTATTCACACCCAAATGGTTCAAGCTGACCATCAAAGATAAGAACTTAGAGGCATCTCTCCTGACTAGCAGACTGCGCTCCCTGCTTTCCTGCTTTTCTTTTAAACGGACCATTCAGGCATTTGCCCAATAACTTACTAATAAAATGACCCGCACCCTATTCCCTTATATAAACTGTCAGTCTCTCCCCAACCCTTTTTCTTTCTCTTGGTCTGACTCTTCATTCTTGCCTCATGTGCCCCAGGGATGGACTGCCCTCCCAACTCATTATGCCCTCCTTGCACACGATTTGTACGTAAAAATCTTTGACTTATTTTCTATCGTTGTTGTGTATTGAATTTTCCCTTTCCATCTAAAGACCCAGGGTTTACTCCAGGCTGAGTTTTCCCCAGGACACTGGGGAGAACACAAGGTTGGACTCTTAGTGCCAGAGCAATGGTCAAGCATAAACTGGACACGGCCCAACAAGCGCCACAAGGACATCTGCCAGTGAACACAAGCTTCCTGTGTGAGGAATCCCCGGTGATGGGTCAGACAACCAGGCATAAGGCCATCAGTTAAAAGAAGTATCCACGAAAGGCACACTATAAATACCCACATCAGCTCCTCTTCATTTCCTGTTAGGGCAGGGTTGCTAGCTACTCTGGTACAACTTATTTGGGAGTCCTCACAACAAATACTACTCAGGAATAAAATGAAAGAAACTACTGATAGACACAAAAGCATGGATGAATCTCAAAAACCTACCAAGTGAAAGAAGATAGACATGATCAAGCACATACTATATGATCCCATTTATATGAAGTTCTGGAACAGGCAAAACCTATAGTGATAGAAGTCAGACCAAATAACAACGCCTGTGACAGTGGTGGTAGGGGATTGGCTGTAAAGGCGCATGAGGGAACTTCCTGGGATGAGAAAATGTCCTAAATATCATTGGGATGGTAGTTACACAGGTGTATACACTTATACTTGTCAAAACTCATTGAACTAGACATGTAAAATATATACATTATATTTTATGTAAACCATGTCTTACTAAAGTTAAAAAGCATACATGTGATATAAACTTCACTCTCTGACTGAAATGATTACACTTTCCCCCTGATTTTGATCAGACCTGGTTTCTATCGTCTCAGCTTCCAAATCTTACCATTCATTAACCTTCAGTTAATAATATTTGGTCATAGAGGTAGAATCTGGGAGAGAAGAAATTACTCAATTTTAGGGAGAATAGGGGGGAGGCAGAACAACTTAAACCTGAGCAAGTCCCAACACATGAGGTGCATAAAATTCCTTTAAAACGCTGTGTGTACCAGAAGCAGACCTGGGAGGCAGGACTAGGAGGAACAGGATGACACTCTCATGTGACTTGCACACATCCTCACCATTATTTTTCATGTCCCACAGACCCAGAGAAGAGCTGCCAGCCGGTGTTGGAGACTCTGCGCCAGGCCATAAACGGCACTGTGTATGCCCATGGCACCTTGGAACTGCAGACGCTGCAGCCTATAGTCAACTTCCTTGCCACTGTCACAGTGCCAGGCTACTGTGAGCGTCCACTATGCCCACGCCTCTTTCGACTCTTCACAGTGCTGGCCCTGGAAAGCATGACCAAGGCCACCCTGGTGAGCAGGCATGTGCCTGGTATTCAGGCCTGGCTTGAGCGCTTCCCTTCTATGGAGCGGGAGGGTGTTCTGGCAAGAGCTCTGGTCTGGGCCTCAGTAGAGGCTTGGGAGGCTGTGTGCAACTGCTTCATGCCTTCACCCCTCTGCCCACACTACCGCTTTTCCCTGCACTCAGTGAGCCAGCTATTGGGCAGCCTGCAGCTGCTGCCCACCAGAATAGGCTCTCGAGGTTTTGTGGACTGTCCCAAACACCAGGAGCACTTGCGCCGGGTGTCAGGCTTGCGTGGCACTCGCCTGAACATTATGGTGGCCACGCGCAACATGGTGCGTCTTTGGTTGCATGAGGCACAGAGAATATTTTGTGACCAGCTAGACAGCCCTAGGGAACGCTCCTACTGTGCCAAGCTGCTCCTAGAAGTAGCTCAGAGTGTCTTCTGCTGTGGGCTGCGGCCCCAACACCTGGGTAAGGACCTTGAGGAGGAGGAGGAGGAGGAGGAGAAGGTGCCTGAAGTGGAATCCGAAGGGGAGTTGGCCCAGTGGGAGGACTCAAGCAATAGCAACAGTGAGACAGAGGAGGAAGAGGACCCTTATGGCCTTCAGATCATCAGAAGCTCATACCCCACTAATCCAACTCAGACACCATCCATAAAGCCAGCAATCAAGGAGACCAGAGAAAGCATCAGTCACGAGATAAGGCAGGAGAAAGACACAAGGGCTTCCAGCCCTCAGCTCCAGGAAAATAAATCATCCAAGTCTTGGTGGCATAAGGCACCCCAGATGGACCAAATCTCACCACTATTGCTACCAGTGCTACTACTCCGTCCCCAGGAAAAGCCCTCAGATCTGGTCTTCAGTCAGGAGCTGATACTGAGGTCTAACTCTGAGAGCCCCAACTTGTACCTGGAACGACAATGGGAGAGCCTGGAGGAGCAGCTGGCCACCTCAGCTTCTCAGCTGAAGCTGAGCCCCAACCTTGCCCGATGCCACTCCATGGCCCAGCATGTGGCCCGCCTAGTCCGGATGCTGGCCAAGCCCCGGCAGCATGGCCTACTGCTCTCACAGGCTGAGGGTACTGGGCGCCATACTGCTATCACTCTGGCTTCTTGCATTTGTCAGGCCCGCCTCTTACATCTGCCATCTGGGTCAGAGGAGGACATTCTCCAGTGCCTACGAGATGCCAGCTGGCATGCTGGCATGTTAGGACAACCAGTAGCCCTGCTGGTGCCCAAGCGTGTGAATCTTATAACCCTTCATCGCCTATTGGCCCTGGCAACCTCAGGCAGTTTCCCTGATCAGTACACAGAGGTGGACCTGGACGCCATTGAAGAACACTTCCCCAGGGAGAACACTGGTGCCAAACAGAACATCAAGAAGGAAATGGTGTTACCGAGGTGAGGCCAGGAACCCCATACCCAAGTCTGCTCTGCTCTTACTCTATCCTGGCCAAAAGGTCACAAGGAAGTCTATGGGCTGCTATGAGGGCTCAGTAGATCAGGGCTAAGGGGTCAGGGTTGGGACTGGGACCAAGGTGGGCAAGAAGGAGAAAGGGAGCACAGCAGCTGAGCCCCTGGCCTACAGGTTCTACCAGCAAGTATGCAGCCACCTGCACATGTTCTTCCTGATTGAAGATGAACAGAGCCGCAAGCAGATGTCCTCCACCCTTTTTCTGAGGCTCCTTCAACTGGCCACTGCCAGCATTGACCACTATGAACCCTGGGACCAAGCTGCCCTGGTCAAGGTGGCCCAGCACCACCTGGAGCGTGCTCAGAGTCTACCCCTTGATGATGGTGAGCCCTTTCTACCTGTCCTCACCACTTGTCTTAACCAAGCTCTAATGAGGGTTATTATCTTAGTCAGTATCTGTCTCTCTCTTGAGCCTACTGAGCCCCCTTCACATTTTCTACCTTTCTTCCTGAGCTGGGAAAGGATCCCTTTCCTTTCCCATTTCCCTACAAGCTCACAAGGCCAGGTTAAAGCCATTCCCATTTCAGGTTTATGGAAGGGCCCAGACCTCCAGGCCTCAATTCCCAGTGTGGCCAAAGCCATGGCTTGGATCCACCTTTCGGCTGCCTGCTACCACAAGCAACTGTGCCCTGTATTGCCACTTGTCACCCCCAAGACCTTCCTAGACTTTCTGGACACCTTCCTGCTACTGCAACAACAGATGATTCTGCAGATGAAGAACAAGGCTAAGCAGTGAGTGTTCCCAGCCCCTGCAATGTACCTCTTTCTGCTTCCTTGGTTGGGTGCAGCACTGGCACATTTTATCTCCAGGATCCAGAATGCCATGATGAATCTGAAAATGCTGATTAACGAGCACAATGCCCATGCCAACCTGATCTTCAGCTTGGAACAGAAGCTGATAGACTCCCGCAAGGTAAGGGAGAGAATATTGTGAGGTTTGCACAGTAGTGTCAAAGCAAGACCCCAAAAAAGGACTTGGGAAGAATCAACCAGAGTGAACCATAGCTCGTGTCTCCCTAGGGTCCTCCTCTACCTGGGGGAATCTCTCTAATCCTTATTGCCACCTCCTTTAGAGCTGACATTCAAAAGATCCCCATAACACAGCAGAGGCCAGATTGATTGTTTATAATGCATGAAAACCAAATGTCTGCTTCTGGTTGCCCCTAGGTCCTTGACTGGGTGAAGTTCCGTATGCTCCCAAGATCTTTATAGATTCCCCAGGGGGTGGGGCAGGGATTACATCTCACAGTCACCTCTCACTCATGTCTTCTTCCTCGCTTGAATTCTTTATCACTGGTGGTTGGTTCACCTCTTGTGTTTATCCTCTTTTCTCATAGTGCTCTGTCCCTACACCTTTTTCTTCTGCAAAGGCAACAAATACGGTGCAGTGAGGAAAGGTGGATGGGTGAGGTGGCAGTAGGGGGAAATTTACATTATAGCACAAAACCAAAAGTAGATTTATAATGGTGTACTAGATACCAATGTCTTGCATTTTCTTAGTCACCCTCCTCTACCAGGCACTTCCCAGTGACCAACTTATCCCTTCCCCTCCTGTCTCCCCAACTCCTGCTCTACAATGTTATTCAGCCATTGCATTTTTCCTTTAGGGCTCCCCACATATAGGCTTATGTAATAAGAGAGTTTTTTCTAGTCAAAGACTCAAATCCTTTTGCTTTCTTATACAGAGCAATTTTCTTCTTTGAATAAACAAATCTCTCGTATCTGGCTAAAACTGGTGGGCACGAGAGTTATCATACCTTCTGTAGCAAAATACTCCCAGTTAAAGGTGTTTTCCCAGACTAAAGAGTTGTTTTGTTTTTAATAAGAGGAATTCTAAAACAGCACTTCCCCCTGCTTCCTGCTATACAAGACTTTGATAAATGTTCAGGGATAACTACGAGAAGTGAACTAAAGCCCATCTCATACTTGGATAATCTGACTGACTTTCTACTATGCTTTCAGGCCTTAAGCTCCTAATGCCTAGCCAGTCTCCTCTGATGGGTGTCCTCAGGACTGTCCCCCAGTGTTGCACAGCTCCAGAGGCATGGCTTCTGTTATGTCTGCCTACATGGTTTTCATTGTGTTCTGTGTAACTGGTGCCCCCTGAAGTTCTCAAGGTCTTACTCTCCATACCTAGGATGACCAGCTTAGATGAAACCTCAAGATTCAGTCGAGTTGCAAAAGAAAAGAAAAGAATGTAAGAGGGCAACAAGAATCCCCTTTCCCATGTTTTCCAAATTCCTACCTTTTCCCAAGATGATGAAAACTAGGAATTGTTCACCTGGTTTAGGGGTGCTACCATTCTCTGTCAGAGCGCAACACAATTAACTGAAGATACGGATGAGAGACATAATCTCAGAGGTCAATTAGAGTCAGATCCCTTGGTCATTCACTCCACATACATAATAGTCTGTCTTCAAATAATACTTCTAATAATATTTCTGCCAATGTTACCCACCCCAGGAAATGGCATCACCACCCACTTAATCATCATTCTGGGTGCCCCCCCCATCACTTTTCTGTCTCATAGTCAATTGGTTCATTTATTTGTTATTGTCCTCAACAAAAATTAATTGAACTCTATATATTTTTGTCCAGGCATTCATTAATATTAATGTATATATCTACATTTCTGTCTACATTTACATTTAGATGGAAAGTTAGAATCCTTGCCACAATTTTCTGAAGTGGCTGTCCTTTCCCTATTTTACAGGTGAGATAACAGAGGTCTAGAGTGCTTGAGGAGAATTCTCTAACCTCATATGGATGTAATGAAGATTAAATGAGATCTCACATGTAAAGCATTTAAAGGCGCTGGCGCATACTAAGAGCTTAATAAATGTTGGTTACTATTAATATTAGGTTACATTGCCTTCTAATAAAAGGAGATAAGTCACTGTATTTGCCTTCACAGTGCCTACTGGAAGGTACAGCTTACTGGAAGGTACAGATTCATCCAGGCAACAGTGTTATGGCAGAGAAGGTCTGAGTGTTCTGAAGTATCAAGAAAAGCTTTCTAGAGAAAGCATAGTGCCCCAGTGTATAGCACAGAACATGTATAGAACATGGTAGGGACTCAAAATATGAATTCCTTAAACATTCCTTAAAAACTGAATGAAATACAACAAACATAATGCCTGAAGGTTAGGTAAGATTCGGTCAGTCGTTTAAGGGGAAGAATGTCCCATGCTGAAGTAACAGCACATGCAAAGGCGTAAAGGCAAGAGAACGTGTGCCATGTTGGGGGAAATGAAAGTAAGGACTGGCTGGAAAGCACAGTGCTGTGAGAGAGAAAAGATATGACCTTGGAAAGATGAGTAGGAGCCTGGTCACAAAGGCATTGTCAACCCAAATGTAGAAGTGACAAGTGTTAGAGCTCATGACGATGAAGAGATTCATTTTTTAGAAAACCAATCAGGCTGCAGTGAGGGAATGAGAGGGGTAAATAAGAGTGGAAACTGAGAGACCAATGAGGAAAGTCAGTGCAGAAGGTCAGGAGGGAGCCAGAGCATGCATGATGAATATTGGGAATGGGGGTGGAAGGAAAGGCATTTAGGAGTTAGAATTGAAAACTTTCAAAGATAGGCTGAGTTTGGGGGAATAGAGGAGTTGGCGCCAAGGATAATAACTAGGTTTCTTCCTTGGGAAACCTGAATATATTTTGCCACAGTTCTCTGAGAGAAAGAACATACAAGGAGAGCAATCAGATTGCAGGGGAGCCCAAAGGGCATAGCCAATACATCCAGGTTGAAGACTGTGGAATCTGAGGGACCTTTGAGACATGTAAGAGATTTCCACTAAGCAGATGGATACATGGTGTGGGGCTTGGGAGAGAACCTGGCTAGAGAGAGATTTGGTAGTTTTTAGGATCTAAGTGGTAATCAAAGCCATGAAATTAGGGAGGGTGTATAGAAGTGTAGAGTGAGAAGAGAAGGGGGCCCTGAAAAAATAGCTAAGGAATAGTTAAGGGATGGCAAAGGAAGAGACCGCAAATTATAGCCAGAGATGGCTAGAGAAAGCCAAAGGGGAACATAGTATCATGAAGGCTGAGGAAGGAGAATGTCTCAAGAGGAAGAGAACTGTCTACTGTGGCAACAGCTCCTAATGGGACAAGCAACACAAGGAGTGTAGGATAATAGTTACATACACAGGCTTTGGTTTCAGATTGCCTGAGCCTATATGGTAAAGCAGCTGCAAGAAAAGCCACCACTTCCTTAGGGCTGCATTTCTAGGGGTATATCTCATAGACCCATAAGTGACAGACCCAGAGCTCAGACTCTATCTGTGGCCTACCTGGAGTTCAACTTGGGCACCCTAGCAAGTGAGCAGTATGCTGGGGGCCCAAGACCATGGGGTCTTCCCCTGGGGTGTTCCCACATGGCCCAGGATCTGGACCTGTGGGGTCTGGATCTCTATTCACAGAACCTCAGCATATTTCAGCAGCAGCTAGAGAAAATCAAGCTCCAGTACAGGTGGCAGCTGACAGAGTGTCGGCATCAGGAGACCCTCATTGAGAGCCTGACTAAGCAGCGGGATATCCTGCGGGATCAGTATGAGGCGTTCCTGGAACAGGTGGGCTCTTCCTGCTGCCTGCCTTGCATTGCTCTTCTCTTGGAAAAGGGAAACCCCTCAAAGGATTCCTAAAGAAGAGGATGGGGTGACTCATGGAGTCTTCTGGGGGAGGGGACAAAGGTAATAGCATGGCTTGGGAGTGGTCTCTCATAGGAACTCCTAGGAGGAGAGGATCCCTCCTGGAAACATCTGAGGAGCTCATTGCAGAATGCATCTTCCCTATTTAGATGGACAAGGCATTTCTGGGGCCTCTGAGCCAGCTGCAAGTAGCTGACTTTGAGGAGATACGGAGCTATCGAGCACCACCAGAATCTGTGGTCAGGGTGACTGATGCACTGTGTGACCTCTTCCACTGTGAAACAGGCTGGGCCAGTGCTAAGCAACTGTTATGCACTGAAGATTTTTATCAGGTAGGGAAGGTAGGGCAGAATGAAAGAGGAAGGAGAGATGTAAAGGGGAGACTTGACAGGGCTAGACTATTGGGTCAAGGTCCAGGGCACCCATGTCTTCCCTCATCCCTTTACCACACATTCTCCTAGGAGCTGGTGTTCTTCCCCAAGGAGAAGATGACAGACGCAGAGCTGGTAAAGTTGCACCTAGCTCTGCATGCTCCAGGTATGAGCAATGCAGCCCTGCAGGCAGTCAGCGCATCTGTGGCAAGACTGGCGACCTGGCTCTGGGCCGTTATGCGTTATGGGCTGGCACAGCGCCGGGGGCTGCCCACTGGCCTGCTGCTGCAGCAAGTGGAGGTGACACTAGCTCGGGAGCATGCTCGCCTGGGCCACTACCAGTTTCAGGTCCAGGAGTTCCTGGAGCAGAGTTTGGCTCTGGTTAAGAAGGTGGAGGATGCCCAAGTTGCTTATAACTCTGTGGTGGAGGCCCTCAATTGGGCACTGAGCGACCAATATCACAAATGGCCCATAAAGGCTGCACTGCTCACCCCCATGTACTCCTGGAATATACAGCTCCAGGTAACCAGCCCCCTTTCAGATGTCTCCCCCAGAGTTCATTTCATGCCATTCCCCAGCTCTTCCCTGTGGCCTCACTGCCTCCCTCTGTCTATCTCTGCACTCCTTGCCATGCTCTCCTCCATATCCTGCTTTATGCCCTGTCTTCCATACCTCTGCCTGCACCCCCTCACTGGCCTAAACACCTTCTGGTCTTCCCTTCCACTGCAGAAGGTGAAGGAGCACTGCATTACTGTGTTCGGAGATGCCCTTCTACGTGCAGCCGCCATCACCTACCTGGGTCCCTTCCCACCACTGCGGCGCCAAGAGCTCCTGGACAAGTGGCTGGCTCTGTGTAGGGGCTTTCAGGAGGCCCTGGGCCCAGATGATGTGGCACAGGCACTGAAGCAGAAGCAAATATTTGTCAACATGCCACCAAAGAAGCCCCTGCTGCCCACACGCTCTTCCTTTAGTATTCTGTCCTTGATGAGCTCTGTGTCCGAACAGTGCCAGTGGGACCGAGAATTGAAGCCACAGGCAAAGTCAGCCCGCTTGGCAGGCCTGCTTCTGCGAAGTACCACCCACTACAGTAGTTGCCGTTGGCCTCTGCTGCTTGACCCCAGCAACGAGGCCCTCATGTGGTTGAACCCATTGCCTCTGGAAGAGAACACAGGCATGGTGCCCTCGGGTAGAGGTGAGCAGGGATAGTAAACACAAGGCTCCCAGAGTCTGGGCCTGAGCTACCTAACACTCTCAGCCACACGTGGTCTTTCCCTTCATAATGGACACAGTGAATTTTTGTAATCAGGATGTCTCAGACTTCAACAGCCTATACTATATTAATAATTGTGGTCACATTTACAATTTTTTTTCTGTATATTACAATGATTCTGAAACTACAAGGCTGATGATCTTCCACTGCCCTCATCTGCTCAGCACTACCCAAGTTTGTCCAATTTTCAGAAATCCTAGGGGAATATTTCTATTGGCTCTGATTGGGTGGAGTATTGGAAAGAACATTTTCTAGGAGAAGGAAGAGAGGGTGTTTATTCCCCAGAAGGAGGGGTAAGAAGTTGAGTTGGTGAGAAAAATGTGACCTTATTTGGAAAAAAGGTCTTTGCAGATGTAATTAAGAACTTTGAATGAGATCACCCACTATCTGGGTGGGCCCTAAATCCCATGACAATTATCCTTATAAGAGAAGAGAAGACATGGAGGAAGCCATGTGAAGACGGAGGCAGATATCAGAGTTACGCAGCCACAAGCCAAGGAACACCTAGAACCACCAAAAGCTGGATGAGGCATGGAAGGATTCTCCCTTAAAGCCTCTGGAGGGAGTGCAGCTTTGCTGACATCTTGATTTCAGACTTCTGCCCTCCAGAACTATGAGAGAATAAGTTTTTGTTGTTTTAAGCCATTGTTTGTGATAGTTTGTTAGGGAAGCCCTGGAAAACTAATATACACATCATGGTTGCAAGATGTTTGCTACCCTCCCAAGCATCATGTCAGAGTTGCTGCTGGCCATTTCTGTCCCTTTTTTCAGGAAAGCAAAAGATCTTCCAAAAGTCTGAATAGCCAAATGTAGTAGGAAAAATTTTGGCCCCTGTGACCTTTGCCTTCTGGTGTTACTCCCACGATTATGTTGTATTACATGGCAAGGAAGACTTTGCAGATGTAATTGAGGTTACTAATCAATTGACCTTAGAGAGAGATTATCTAGGTAAGCCTAGTGTAATCAAATGAGCCCCTCAAAGCAGAAAGGAGGAAACAAAATGCAGAGAGATTTGAAACACAAGAGGATTCAATGAACTGTTGCTGGCTTGAGCTGGAGGGAGCTGCAGGGCAAGTGTGAGAAAATACATTTTGTCAAAAACTAGTAATCCTGGAACAGGACCTCCAACCCCAGATAAGAATTGCAGCCCCAGCTGATAGCTTGATTTTAGCCCAGTGTAACCCTGAGCAGAGAATCCAGCTGTGCTCCACCAGACTTCTAATCTACAAAACTGTGAGGTAATAAATGGGTGTTGTTTTAAGTTGCTAAGTTTGTGGTAATTTGTTAGCAATTTGAAGTGAATGCACCAAACTGTGGACCTGGCAACCTCCACTTGCAAGAGAAACTAGAAAAAACCCCAAATATTTATCTTTTCCAGCCCTTGCAGTAGAGGAGGCAAGAGAGAAGGGGGTGAACGTGGCTGTTGGTGTGGTGGAAAACTGTCTGCATCCACCACACCAGCCATGACTTGGCTAATTCCACAGTTTATGGCCTTTCACTTGTTAAAATCACTACTTCCAGGCACTGATTTCCTTATTAGTGAGGACTGTGCTAGTTGTTCATGATAGAATTAGCTTAGGCAGAAAAGGGAAATACATTGACTCTTATACTCAATCTACAGAAAGGGCAGGAATGGAGCCAATTTCAGAGATGAATAGAATCCCTCCCTGGTATTTTAGAGTAGTAATTATGACAGTCAACATTTACTGAGTGCTTACTCTGTGCCAGTATAAATGCTTTCCATGTATCACTTCATTTAAACTTCACAGTAACCCTATGAGGTCTTCACTAATACCAACCCCATTTTGCAAATAAGAATGTGCATCATGGAGAGAGAGCTTAAGCAACTTTGTTAATATGTCTTCCTGCAGACCTTACCTCGTGAAATGGAGCTCTTGGGTGAATTCCTCCCCTAAGAAGAGCTCCTCTGCATCTTTCTTCCCCAGGGAAGAGACTCGTGAGAAACCAAAATAAAGAAAGTAAAGAGGAGGACAGGAAAGAGGAAGATGATGATAGTGAAGACAGTCAGGAGGCTAAGCACCAGACAAAAGAGAAGAAGAGGGAAGAAAGGGAAAACAAGGAGGAGGAGTATGTGCAAGAGCAAGAAGAGGAAAAAGAGGAAAAAGAGAAAGAGAAGGAGAAGGAGACGGAGAGCCAGGAGACACAGCCAGCCTCTGAGACTCAGTCTCCACCTCTTCCCTATCTTAGTGTGCTCTCAGGCGCCGACCCAGAGCTGGGTCCTCAGCTCTTGGGGGCAGCTGCTGGTGGTGAGAACTGGTCCCCACCCACCCCCACCCTGTCCCCTTTTTCCCTCCCTGATTCTGTGACCCCCCCCCCAGGCTTCTCACACCCCAGTGTGACCTCAGCTCCACCCTTCATCCCAGGCACTACGTCGAAGACGCTTGCGAGAACCCTCCTGTCAGCCAGCAGGGAGCTGGTCAGAGCCAGATCTCGTGCATGGGGTGGGGGTCACGTCACAGGTGCTGGCATTGTGGGTAGGGTGTCCTTGCCTCCCCTCACAGGCCTGCCCGTGCTACTGACCAACGTGGAGCTGGGCCTAGAGTGCCAAGAACTGCAATGGTTGCTGCACCGGGAGCAGCTGAGTCCACCCCAGGTGCAGCCTGGCTTCTGTCTCTATCTGAGCACCACCCTGCCCCTCCATGCCTTGGAAAAAGGTGAGGCCCAGAGGGAAAACTGCCAGAGCAGTTTTGCGAATACACTTGGCCCCCAGGGCCAGCCCTAGGGGGCTTCACTCAACCTGGCTCAGAGCAGGCTGAGGAGAGTAGGGAGCCATATTCCTGTCCACCCCAGTCCCTGGACCTGCCAAGGGGAAGGGATTAAGCATCTCTCATGTGACCTCAAGTGCTAGGTCGTGAACTGCTGAAGGGGCTGAATGTGCTGGATCTGGGCCTGAACATGGAAATACTAGAAGAACAGATGCTGCATGAAATCTTGTTCAGAGAGCGTCCTGAGCTCGAGAACCGCTGGCAGGACCTGAAGATCAGAGCCCTGGATGCTTGTGAAGCCGTGGAGGCTGCTGAGGTGCTTGGGAGCCCAGTATGTGGGTTGGGATAAGGATGGGTGGGCTTGGGTATGGTTGTGGAGATGAATGCAGATGTTCGGGGACTATGGGAAAGGGCCAGATTCATCCAACAAATGACTAAATGCAGGAGCAGCTGCTGATGAGGCTGCTGCTCCAGAATTCGAAGTGTCAAAAACCAGCTAAGTTTCTGCGGAACATGGTGAGGGCCCAGGCAGAGCTCTGTCAGCTGCGTGCCCATTCCGAAGAGGTAGAAGAGAAGAAGCTACAGGAGATGGTATTATGGGCACCTTATCGGCGTGTGGTTTGGCATGGAATGGCCATTATAAAGGCCCTAAGCCAACTGCAGAATTTGCTGCCACTTTTCCGTATGAGGCCAGAGAACTGGCTGGCTGTCATCAAGCAGGCTCTAGACAGGATGAAGCCATGTGAGATTCATCGTGGGGAGGACCTGGCCAGCCATCTGCTGCTGCTGAGAACACACCTGACCCGCCAACTGCTGGGCAGTGTCGTGGCCGCACTGGGCCTGACCCAAGTACCCCTGGTGGGTGCCTTGGGTGCTTTGGCTCTGCTGCGAGTGACAAGGAAGGCATCAGAGCTGGAGAGGCTGGCACTCTGGCCTGGATTGGCAGCCTCTCCCAGCACAAGTCACAGCAAGAAAGTCCCGAGGGTGACTCGACCTGCCTGGGTAGGGCCAAGAGCCTGGCATGAATGTGAGTTGTTAGAGCTGCTTCCCCCATTTGTTGGGCTGTGTGCATCCCTGGCAGGCCACTCCAGGGTTTGGCAGGCTTATCTGTCACTGTCATCCACAGTGCTGGGTCCTGCACCTGGGCCTGGTTCTGAGCCACTCAGCCTCCTCCAGAAGCTGATCCTGTGGCGTGTGCTGCGACCTGAGTGCCTGGCAGGTGCCCTGGCAGACTTCACCACCAGCCTCCTGGGCCGGCCCCTGGATGAAAACTTGGGTGCCCCCACCATGCCATTTAAACATAGTCAGGCCACTCAGCCCATGCTGATCTTGTTGCCACCACCTGGTCACCCCACAGCCACTTTGCATCCCTTGAGTGTCATCCAGAAACTGGCTGCCAAGCATGAGCAGGTTTGAACCTAGTTTCTTGGCCACAGAGTGACTGGGATCCAGTGGGGTGGGGTATGGGGTCCCCCTCCCAGCATTCTCATGGATCTTTCTGGATCACTCAGGGACTTTGGGGATCATTGTGGCATTAGTCTGGGTCTGTCAGGTCACCCCAGCATCACTTTGAGTCACTCTGCCATCTCTTTGTTGGTCCCCAGGGGCAGAAACATCTGCAGGTGATAGCCCTGGGCTCTGAATCCTGGGACCCAGTCTCGGTCGTGGTCAGCACTCTATGCCAGGCCATGAACAAGGGGCACTGGCTGGTGCTAGATAACTGTCATCTGATGCCTCATTGGCCGAAAGAGCTGCTAAAGCCCTTGCTGGGACTGTTGGATGGAGCCAAAGGTGGGTTTCCTGCCTAGAGATGGCCTCTAGGATCCTACTCTACACATGGGCCTGAGCTTGAAATCTCAGGCCTCATGCTCAATCCCCTAGCTCCAAGCCTGTCCACTTGGCCATGTATCTAACTCCTGATCCCCTAACCTCAAGTCTGATTCCTAGACTTTGTATCACCCTTTAACTGAGGACTGATCTCAGCCCCATATCTGACCCTAGTGGTCTCGGACCCGGAATTGGAACTGCTTTTAGCCCAACCTCAAAGCAGGAATGTGACCACAGTCCACAGAGATTTTCGTCTTTGGCTTATTGTGTCTGCGGAGTCTACTGCTTCCTTGCCAGGTGAGGAGCTTCCCTCCACAGGCTCTCAAATTGGAAGGGTAAAGGCAACTGCACTGTGTTGACTCAGCACTCTTCTTCCTCCCCAGCTGTGCTGACTCAGCACTCCATGCCTGTTTTCTGGGATCAATCCCTGGAGCTGGGCCACGTTTTGATCGACAGCATGGAGCTAGCCCAGCAAGGACTTTACATGCAACCCCCAACCCAGGCACTGCCCCTGCTCCTCCTACATGGCCTTCTGCTACACCGGCAGCTCTACAGAATGAGGCTGCAGGCACACAGGGGCCGCTGGTAAGGGACTCCACCCATCTTGCTCAGTTACAAAAGCAAATACTAAGTATCTTCCACATGCTAGGATGAGTAAAACTAATTCATCCTTGGGGGCTTTAAAGTGTGAGGGCAAGGGGAAATCAAGGAAGCCTTCTCCATGGACTTTGGGATCTCATCTTGAACTGAGTCTTAAAAGCAAAGGCAAATCAGGTGGAGACAGAGCCTTTCTGAGCAGACAGAACTAAACTCAGCAGAAGGGAGGAGACTTCAGTGTGGCTGAGGTGGACATGCTGGGGGCTGAGTAGGAAGAGGTTCATTATAAAGGGCCTCTAAGACTATGGCAAGGGACCTAATTTATCCTGAGAACAATAGGAAGCCACTGAATGGTTTTAAGTAGGAAAAGAAACGTGATCCTTTTTGTCTGTTGGAAAGATCACTCTGGCTGCAGTGTGGAGAACGGACCAGACAAAGCAGGACTAGAGGCAAGCAGAGCACTTTTAGGAGGCACTGGTAGTATCCAGAGAAGAGACCGTGGTATGGGTGGTAAGGACTGGGCTGGTAGTCACAGCAGGGATAGAGAACAAATATGGGTTATGAAAGGAGTCGTCGAGGATGATTCCCAGATTTCTGCTTTAGACAACTGGATGGCTGGTGATACTTCTCACTGGGATGGCAGACAGAGCAGGTTTTATGGGGGAAAATGATGATTTCAGTTGAAAGCAAGTTGTATTTGAGGTGCCAAGTGGCAATGATTAGTGAGCCTTCATGAGCCTGGAGCTCAGGACAGAGGTTTGAGATGAAAAAAAGATTTGAGAGTCCTCAGCATACAGATGATATTTGAAACCCTACTTTTTGCTCTCATTCCCCAGGAGTCAAGTGACCCTAACCCAGGTCCTTAAGATCCAAGATCAGCTGTGGGCCAGTCTCAGCAATCCCAGTGCTGCCATGAAGCAGCTGGCTGGTGAGACCCTTCCTTGCCCCATGCAGCCATCAGCCTCCAGGAGGGCCTGCAAAAGGGGTGGGGTGGGAGTATTAAGACTGGATCATAATTCACAACTTTAGTTTTGGGGGTGGTGGAAACTGGAAGGCCTGGAACTGAGAGGCTCTGACCTCATTTTCAGCTTCAGTTTTCTATGGGGGTCCTGTTGGGGACACCGAGGACAGGAAGGTCCTGACTAGCCTCACACAAGCCTGCCTGAGTCCCAGCAGTGGGAGTTGGGTCCAACCACACACACCACAGCATCTGCTGGCCACACTGATGCCCAGCCCAGGTAAGCCCCAGCCAGATATCTGTGCTGGGGTGGGGAAGAGTGCAGTGTAATGCCACCCCCTACAGGAATGTGAACAGCAGTGCCAATGAAGGCATAGAGGGGACAATATTCATATAGTTATGGGGGTGATGGCATAAAGGATCAGAGGAAGGCCCACTGTCTGGGGCCTGGGGTGGGGCAGTCCATTTGTCCCTCACTGCTCACCTCCATCCCAAAGAGCTAGGGGAGCTGGATGCAATGGCAGAGTGCAAGGCCCAGATGCAACTCCTGCCCACACCACCTGAACCCCGGATCTGTGGACTGAGTGAGGGCACCCGGGCCTGGCTGTTGCGACGCCAGAGTCGCGCTCTCCTGAGCGCTCTGCAGCTGAGTTCACCTGCATGGGTTCCTGCGGCTCGCGGAAGCGCCCAGCGTACAGAAAGGCGACTGCGGCAACGCCTAGTGCAAGCCACGCGGAGGCTGGAGTCACTGCAGATGCTGCTGACTAACCCTGCTCGCCAAGACGAGTTTAGAGCCCCATGGGCCGTGCTGGGCCCGAATGCGCGGCGGCCTCTCGAAGGCTTCCTAGAGGTCGAGGCGCTGGAACTGAACCAGCTGGCTGGCATGATACAACGGGACCTCAACTGCCTGTTGCAGCAGCTGAAGGGCGCACCTCCGTGCACCTCCCGGCGTTGTGCCTCAGTGGCCCATGCCCTCTGGAATGGCCGCCTACCCAAGCCTTGGCAAGCTCATGCGCCCGCCCGTCCGCAGCCGCCCTGGCACTGGCTGCGACAGCTGTCGCGTCGTGGGCAGCTGTTGGTTCGCTACCTGGGCGTGGGCGCGGGCAGGGGCACGGGGACGGGCACGGATACCGACACCAATGAACCAGAGCATATCTTCCACCTGTCAGCCTTTAGCCACCCGCGCCGCCTATTGCTGGCACTGCGTTGGGAGGCTGCCCTTAACCAGAATGTGTCTGCCTCAAATCGTCCTGGTAGCCAAGGCTTAGGTTTCACTCAGTTCCCGTATAGACGTCAGGAGTTAAAGAGCAGCCCTCTGCACCTCCAGGTATCTTCCCGCCGCCCCTTCGTTCTCCGTTCTAACCCCCTCAAAGTTCCTGATTACACCTCACAGTTACCCCATCCTGCCCCTTGGGATCTTGCCCCTCAGTAACCCAGCTCGGCTCGCTTCTCTGATCTCGCTCCGCCACAACACCCTCCCACTTCCAAACCCCAGCTTTATAGCCTTGCCTGACCAGCTTCTGGCGCCCTCAGGTGGAGAATGGCCCAAATCCCTCGGCTCCAGAGAGTGGTCTGCTGCTGATCGGGCTACAGCTCCTACACGCGGAGTGGGACCCCATAGCTGGGGCCTTGCAGGACAGTCCTTCCAGCCAGCCCAGCCCTCTGCCTCCGGTCAGCGTCAGCACACGGGCCCCGAACGCCACAGACCTTCCACCCCCAGCCGGCCTGCCTGTGTACTCCTGTCCTGTGTACATGGCAGGGCCCCTCGGCACCACGAAGCTGCAGAGCAGGAACATCCTGATGCACCTGCCCCTACCCACAAAGCTCAGCCCTGCCACCTGTGTCCAACGGAGAGTCCATGTGTGCAGCCCACCCCTGCTCTGAGCCCCTCTACCAAAATAAAGTTGTAGTTATTCCATGAGAGATTTCTGAGATTTGGAAGAAGAGTTAGGGTATGTGTACACCAAGAAGGCAGAACGTGACACACTGAGGGGCAAGCACAGTGTGCATGACTGAGGAAAGAGGAGGTGTATTTCGCAGTGAAGATAGAAGAAGGCATGTGCCTGACAACTGGGGAGGGCAGTGTGGGTGCACTGCCAGTGAGGGGCTGGGTATTATCATGTATCCAAGGGTCATGTCTAGCAATAGCTAATACACAATCCCAAATCCTTGCCCTTCTCTTTACTGTGGTCTCAGCTCTTGTGCTAAATCTATAAGGGATAGTTTTGAAGGAAGAACATTAGAATTCAGAATGCTTTCTGGCAATGCCCCAATGCTGCCCTACTATTCATTCTTCCTCCCTATGATGGATTCTCTAAGTGAGTCATACACATAAAAAGCAAAAGCCAAATATGATACAAGATCATATGTTCATTCAATAATTATTTATTGGGCAATCCTCAGAACCAGGTGTTCTTCCAGGCACTGATGAGGTTGTTCTAATGTAGGGCAACAGGCAATTAAAGGTCAACATGTAAATAATTTTGATGTTTTTTAAGTGCATTAAAGAAAACAAAATAGAATGATGTGTTATAGAGTGGATAGAGGGGAGGAGTTAATATAATTTGGGTGGTTGGGAAAGGCTTCTTGAGTATTTTAGAGCTATTTGAAAATCTAAGAACATTCATTCAGGTGGAACCCGCAGTAGGTACAAAAGACTAGAGGCAAGAACAACCTTGAGGTATCTGAGAAACAGAACATGTAACTAGAGCATGGTGAATGAGCAGTGGAGTGATCCAAAATAATGGAAAGGTATAGAAAGGGACAGATCACATGGTCATGGTAATGAGTTTATATTTTTCAAAAGCATAATGAGACTCTCTTGGGGAGTAGTAGGTGGGAGATGACATGATATAATGTGTATTTTTCAAAGGTCACTCTGGCTGTTCTGTGGAGGATAGATGGTATTAATAGAAAAGCCATAGTAATAAGGAAGGAAGATCTATTTGGAACCAATTGTAATAATTCAAGTAAGAGATGATGGAGATGGGAAATTTGAGGGAGCAACAGGCTGGAAGAAAGGAATCAAGAGTTCTGCTTTGATAGGTTCAGTTATTATTAGTTGCATGATTGCATGCTATGCCAGGGCAAGCCTGTCTGACAAAAATTGAGTTAGAGTATAGCAGAGCTAAAGGCCTACATGAGCATCTCTCCTTGCCCCTAAGCACTAAAATTTACAAAGTACAGTTTAGCTCCTTCATTGTGTGGTTAGGTACCAGCTACATGGTAGGAGGAAATGCAAATAGCAGTGTATACAGGCATACCTTGGAGCTATTGTGGGTTTGGTTCTAGAACACCACAAGAAAGCAAGTCACATGATTTTTTGTTTGTTTCCTAATGCATATAAAAGTTATGTTTACACTATACTGCAGTCTATTAAGTGTAAAATAGCATTGTGTCTAAAAAAACAATGTACATACCTTAATATTAAAATACTTTATTGCAAAAAATGCTAACAATAATCTGAGCCATCAGCAAGGCATAACGTTTCGTAATGTTTTTGCTGGTGGAGGGTCTTGCTTTGATGTTGATGGCTGCTGATTGATGCTGATGGCTGCTGCTTGTGGTTGCTAAAGGTTGGGGTGGCTGTGGCAATTTCTTGAAATAAGACAACAATGAAGTTTGCCACATTGATTAATTCTTTTCACGAAAAATTTCTCTGTAGCATGGGATCCTGTTTGATAGCATTTTACCCACAATAGAACTTCTTTCAAAATTGGAGTCAATCCTCTCAAACCATGCTGCTGCTTTATTAAGTACATTTATGTACTATTCTAAATCCTTTATTGTCATTTCAACAATGTTCACAGCACCTTCACCAGGAGTAAACTCTGTTTCAAGAAACCACTTTCTTTGTTCATCTAGAAGCAATGCCTTATCCACTAAAGTTTTATAATGAGATTGTAGCAATTCAGTCACATATTCAGGCTCCACTTCTAATTCTAGTTCTCTTACTATTTCCACCACATCTGCAGTTATTTCTTCCACGGAAGTCTTGAATCCCTCAAAGTCATTCATGAGAAATATAACAAACTTCTTCTAATCTCCTAATTTTTATATTTTGACATCCTCCCATAATTCACAAATGTTCTTAATTGCATCTAGAATGGTGAATCCTTTCTAGAAGGTTTTCAATTTACTTTGCCCTGATCCATCGGATAAATCACTATTCATGGCAGTGATAGCTTTATGAAATGTATTTTTTAAATAATAAGACTTGAAAATCAAAATTATTCCTTGATCCATGTACTGCAGAATGGATGCTGTGTTAGAAGGTGTGAAAACAATATTAAATCTCCTTGTACATCTCCATCAGAGTTCTTGGGTGACTAGGTGCATTGTCAATGAGTAGTAATATTTTTTTGAGACAGAGTCTCGCTTTGTTGTCCAGGCTAGAGTGAGTGCCGTGGCGTCAGCCTAGCTCACAGCAACCTCAAACTCCTGGGCTCGAGTGATCCTTCTGCCTCAGCCTCCCGAGTAGCTGGGACTACAGGCATGCGCCACCATGCCCAGCTAATTTTTTATATATATATCAGTTGGCCAATTAATTTCTTTCTATTTATAGTAGAGACGGGGTCTCGCTCTTGCTCAGGCTGGTTTTGAACTCCTGACCTTGAGCAATCCGCCTGCCTCGGCCTCCCAAGAGCTAGGATTACAGGCGTGAGAGTAGTAATATTCTTAAAGGAATCTTTTTTCAGTAGGTCTCAACAGTAGGCTTAAAATATTCAGCAAACCATGCTATAAACAGATGTGCTGTCATCCAGGCTTTGTTGTTCCATTAGCAGAGCACAGGCAGAGTAGATTAAGCATAATTCTTAAGGGCCCTAGGATTTTCAGAATAGTAATGAGTATTGGCTTTAACTTAAAGTCATCAGTTGCATTAGTCCCTACCAACAAAGTCAGCCTCGAAAACAAGAAAATTATACAGATGATTAATGAAACAAAAAGTTGGTTCTTTGAAAAGATAAGCAAAATCAACAGACCTCTTGCTAGATTAACCAGGAATAGAAGAGAAAGGACTCAAATCAGCTCAATGAGAAATGGAAAAGGAGATATTACAACTGATGCCACAGAAATACAAAATGTCATCTATGAATACTATGAAAGTCTCTGTGCACATAAACTCTAAAACATAGAGAAAATGGAAAAATTTCTGAAAACACACAACCTCCCAAGACTCAATCAGGAAGAAACAGAACTCCAAAATAGACCAATAATGAGCAATGAGATTGAAGCAGCAACAGAAAATCCAACAACAACAAAAAAGCCCCAGACCACAGAGATTCACACCTGAATTTTACCAGACCTACAAAGAAAAGTTGGTATCCATTCCGCAGAAATTATTCAAAAACATCAAGAAGGAGGGGATCCTCCCCAACTCATTCTACAAAACCAGTACCACCTTGATACCAGAGCCAGGAAAGGACACAACAAAAAAAGAAAACTATAGACCAATATTCCTTATGAATATTGATGTTAAAATCCTCAATTAAATACTAACAAACCGAATTCAACAGCATATCAAAAAAATAATCCACCATAACCACATGGGCTTCATCCCAGGGATGCAAGGATGGTTCAACATATGTAAATCAATAAATGTGACTCACCACATAAACAGAAACAAAAACAAAAATCATATGATCATCTCAATAGATGTAGAAAAAGCATTCAAAAAAAGTCAGCATCCTGTTCACAATAAGAAATTCTCAACAAACTAGACTCAGAAGGAACATAGCTAAAATCCATATATTACAAACTCATAGCCAACATCATACTGAATGGGAAAAAGTTGAAAGCATTCTCACTAAAAACTGGAACAAGACAAGAATGCCCACTCTTACCAATTCTATTCAACATAGTGCTGGAAGTACTAGCCAGAGCAATCAGGCAAGAGAAAGAAATTAAGGGCATCCAATTCAGGAAAGAAGAGATCAAACTATTGCTTTTTGTAGACAATATGATCTTATACCTAGAAAACCCCAAAGATTCCTGTTGTGGCCTGTTTACAGGATAGAGGATGAACACAGAACATAAAACACAAACGCAGAACACAAAGAAAAACGCAGACACACGTACAAACGGTTGACTTGAGTAATAATACACCGGGTCAGTTTTATTTTTATATTCTAAAAGATTAAAGTTAGTTCCTTGTAGTAACCAGGCAGGCGTGGCAGCGATAGCTGTAAATTCCGGAATAGCCTTAGGGAAGCAGATATCCCCTGACTCAGAATTTCAAGGTGGTTGCTCTAGGCACTAGGCATAGATAAAAGACTGAGATTAGCAAGGACGGGCAAGGTGAGCCACAGGGGGTATTTCTCATTCCCAACTTCTCTTAGGGTAACCCCCTAAGATCTTTGGCTGAACCCCAGCAGCTGTGCATGGCTTAGGTTGACCCTCCCTTGAGGGGCCTTACCCGTCATTGACTAACCAGCCATCTTATGGGGTGTACGCAGCAATCACAGGAACAATATGTTTATCGTGTGGCTTCCAGACCCCCAATGCCATGGGGCAGGGCTGCTCTTGCTAGTTGCAGCTCAGGTCCTTGGTTATGCCTCTAGGCAACACCTTTGTTTATTACAGGGAGCCTGTCTGGAACAGATTACTTTCAAATGCTCTGGGCAGAACACATACATTACTCACTAACTTTAATTCTTAAACTAGGAAAATATATGTCAGTCCCCTACAGATTCTACCAAGAGATTCCTCAAATTCAGCAAAATCTCAGGTTACAAAGTCAATGTACACAAATCAGTAGCATCCTTATAGATCAATAATAGTCAAGCTGAGGTTCAAATCAAAGACTCAATACCATTCACAACTGCTACAAAGAAAATAAAATACCTAGGAATATACTTAACTAAGACGGTGAAAGATCTATAAAAAGACAACTATGAAACACTAAGGAAAGAAACTGCAGAT